GAATTGCTCAGTTGGCAAGGGGGAGTAAAAGTATATGATTTCTACTTCAAACTCACATACTTCACCAACTTAACTCATTTGGATATACACCATGTAGGCCCAAGCTGACCAACACAATAGGCATCAGCATACCAGTTATCAAATACCCAGCATAGTTTCCCTGTTATGTTTCAGCCTTATCATCCTTGTATCATACACATATACACAAACACTGGAAGGTATATATACATTGGAATCATCTTGTACTTAGTGTCATGGGGCTGGATGCGCAAGAAGCAGGAAGATCTGTCAACTCATATGAAGGGAGCACAGGAATCAAGGAATCAGGCAGATTGTAGGATTTGCAGCAGAGTTCACTGAGATCTGTAGTAGAGACAGCTCTATTACAGATCTCACCTAGATCAGTGCAAGTGAAGTTGATATCATGAATCCCACCAGAATCCACAGTAAGCATGATTGTATGGCAGATTCCATGGAGATCAGTGGCAAAGACAGTCATACAGTGAACTTCACATGCAAAGGAGGACCAAGCATTGCCAAGAAGGGGACTGAGCTCAGAAGCATGCAGCTGGTTACCACTCAGGGGGTCACAAGACAAAGACCAGGAGAACCATTGCCAATGGGAGGAAGAAGAGCTGTGACAAGGACACTGGCAAACAGGTTATGAGGAGGAAGAGCAGTGTTGAGGGAATCGACACCTAGTTCAAAGAAGGACAGATAGGAGGGACGAGGAGGAGGGGGAAGTTGTAAGCGGTTGCGCACCAGAGACTTAGTTTTGGGGTGTTAAATTGAGTTTGATTGAGTAAGGTCTACTCAGTATGTTTTGCCTAAATGTAACCAAACGTTGCTGCCTGGTAAGTCTTGACTGACCACCTTGAACACTCTGTTCAGAGGTTGCATGGCACAGACACTGGTCATTGGTGAGTGAGTGAAACACTCTCTCCTACAGTATGAGTGTTCATAGTACTATTGATAATGCTCTTGGACATTGTCTGGACCACAATTTGCTAATCACCTACAGAGGACAGGAGTTACTGGACTGCAGGTGTGAGCCACCACCTACAATAACTGACTGGACTGCAGGTGTCGAGCAACACTGCCTACAGCAAGGGACTGGACTGCAAGTGTTGAAGAACACCACCTACAGTAAGCACTGGACTGCTAGTGTTGAAGAACACCACCTACAATTGTTGACTAATGGTGATACAACACACACATTGAGAGTTGTTGCAAGAGCACTGCTATTGCAATGGTACATAACTGAGTAAGTAAAGTAGATAGAGTAAGTAGTATGTAAAGAGTGGATAAGGATCCACTCATATGCTATGGTAGAATGAGAGTATTTATGCATTTGATTGGTGTCACCTGTGACACCTATCCTGCTCCTCCTGAGGGGCCTTCATCCCCTTTTTGACACTATTGTCCTGCTGGCATCAATCCCATTGATACTGTGCCCCTACCATTTGCATGGCATAAGGGTTATGCAACACTGCCCTCTCACCTTCATGCTCTCCTTCTGCCTGATGATGTGTGATGACCCCTTTTGACACAGCTCCTTCTCAACCTTGTCTTGTGAATCCCTTTAGCCTCTTTGTCAGGGGTCTCGCACCTGAAACCCAGGTCGGTCTGTCGAGATACTCGGTGACTATCAAACTGTGCGACAGCTATTGTCTTGGTATCGGTGACTATCAAGTTGCGCAGTGACAGCAGGTGGCATTCGTTGTATATACTATCATAGGTTTCGGCTGACCTCTGTGGACACTCCATTCAGGGGTAGCTCGGCACGATCAATATCAATGCTTCGGTTATGATGACACCAAGGTCTGGTGTGAGTGTTGATGATGATGAGGTTGTTGGTGATAAGGTTGGTGAGTGTTGATGATAATGAGGTTGATGGTGTTGGTGATAAGGTTGGTGGCATCAACACGAGTGTCCAGTGTGTTGACTTTGATGCTTGAAGTGATCCCTGGACTGCAGTGGACTACTGCCTTCGGTTCTATCTATATCCAGACTGCTAACCTGCTATGGGGCACCTACGGATGTCAGGTAGTGGTGATACAACACACACACTATGATGAGGAGCAACCTTGATAGATTGCTGCTATGCTGACTGTAACTAATGAGTACTTATGTTTCTAAAGTATTGACTAGTTGTATGGTGAGTAGAGTGGATGAGGATCCACTCAACCTATGATGATGAGAAAGCATGGTTATATACCTCTTCACAGCATCGCCAGTGATGCTGCTCCTGCTCTCTCTCCAGAGAGTACCTTCTTCATTGAGTACTGCTCAGGGGCCTCTCCTGCTTGGCACCCCTGTGCCTCTTGAGTGGTGTCGACTCCTTCGACACTGCTCCTCTTCCTCAGGACCTGCCTGCTAGTGTCCTATACACTGCTCCTTCTCCTTTGACTGGTGACAGTTCCTTTGACTCTTGTCTCTTGAGCCCCTGAGTGGTAACCATCTGAGCTTGGTCCTCTTCATGGCTGTGCCTGCTCCTTGAGCTTGGTCCTCCTCGTGGCTGTGCCTGGCCCTCCTCGCATGTGGCTCATGTCCTCCTTTGCATGTGAGTCCATAGGAGTCCATGGTCTCCATGGAGACTGCACTATGACCATGCTCTCTACTGGTATTGACTAGATCTTCGATACCTGTGCTCCTTCCATATGAACCCGTGACCCTCCTACTTCTTGAGCATCCAGGCCCATGACACTCTTGTTGAACCTCGTGACCAAACCCCTTGGTCATGTGGTCACTTTGACACAGCTCCTTCTTGACCTTATCTTGTGAATCCCTTTAGTCACTGGTTGAACCTCATGACCAAACCCCTTGGTCATGTGGTCACCCTTGTGCTTGGGCCTGTGTGACTTTACACATGCACCCCTCGAGTGGTAACCATCTGAGTGATACTGAGCTCAGTCCCCTGCTTCCTCCTATGGTTATCTCCAAGTGCCTCTCCTTCCAATGCCAGTACCTTCCTTTCTGAGTCTCCTAGTACTTGCTCGTATCAGCCGACTTGTTGAGGCATGCTGTTCTGACTGTATTGGCTGACTTGTTGAGGCATGCTGATCTGACTGATTCCAACCAATCCCTGTGAGATTAATCTGGAACCCTGGGGTTTGATCGATCTCATAATTCATATGTGCTGCCAGCCCGATTAATCTCATTGATCCCCAATGGTTTGGTGCTGATCAATCTGGTGCTCCCTTCATATATTGATCCATTGTGCACCCTTCATATACTGCTCTGTTGTGCAACATTCCCATGACTGCCATTGATCAATTTGGCGCACTCTCTTGCGCTATCCTTCTGACCCTGTGACAGAAGTGTCATGGGTGATGCTGCAGGCATGGTATATAACCATGCTCCTCATCACAACAAGTGAGTGGATTGCCATCCACTCTACACCACATCAACTAGTTAATACTTCAAGCATAAGTACATATTAGTTTCAGTCAGCATAGTCGCAATCAAGTAGTTTGCCTCTCATTGTAGCATGTGTGTTGTATCACTGCTCACTGATGTCTGAAGGTGGTTCATAGCAAACCAGCAGTCCAGATTCAAGATAGAACTGAAGGCAGTAGTCCACTGTGGTCCAGGGATCACCTCAAGCAATAGTCAACACACTGGACACTCATGTTGATGCCACCAAGCATTCATACTCACACCAGACCTTGGTGTCAGTACAGTTCATATTGTTATTGATTGTGCTGAGCTACCTCTGGATGGAGTGTCCACAGTGGTCAGTCGAAATCTGCAATAGCACAACCCCAATCACAGATTCAAGTGAGTAAAGTCATAAGGACACCACTATGGCATAACTTGATGAGAATTGTAATACTACATATACAATCACATATCTCGACAGGATCTGTAATAGAAGCGGTCCTACTACAGATCTCAGGTTTCAGGCATGCAACCTCTGACACTTAGCTTATGATCATTATCACAATTGATACTTGTGATCAACGCTATTTTGTCACACACCCTTCAACACACACACACACACACTCTCTCTCTCTCTGCGGTTGCGTAGATGCTGACGATGGCTCTCAATCATTTCTTTTTTGTTTTTTTGTTTTGTTTTTTGTTTTGTTTTTTTGCGGGTTCAAAAAGGCTTGGATTGGAAAACACTCGAAAAAGAGGAACACTCGATCCATGCCAACAGGCGGCTGTTCAACCAACTCAGCAAAATCAAGAGCAACAGCACAGGTCATGGCGTCAGAAGAGTGAGAGTAGGGAGAGCTGTTGCTTTCGCTCAGTCCAGCGCGTCCGTCCGCTTCCTTGGTGAATTAATTGTCCATCGCTTTGCTATTCCATCTTTTTCGACTTGAGCCTCCACCGCAAACAACTCAATCCAGCTCCTCTTGCACTCCCACTCCCGCACTCCCGCACTCCCACTCTCTTCTCTTCATTCCCGCTCTGCACCACATCCATCCTCCTTTCGTCATCTCAACACCACCTTTGCTCACAACGGTCGACGACACCACTGTTTTGGTCATCTGCGCATCACGGTGTTCTTCCTCCACACATAGCAAGCCGCCTTGATTTGCACCCAAAGAACGTAAACTCCGGACGCCACAGCCAAACGTAGCCGGTTACCGATCACGCCCTGATCACGATTGCGATCAAGCTGATCTTGCTTCCCAGCCTATCCGGATTGAGCCTCGAAGGCTAGCTTCAGTCGGTAAGTTGGTCCCCTCGCTATCTACGCTTAATGTGTCGCCGTTGTCACTTGGTTCATCGCCCGTTACTGACTATAGTACCCTCATGTTCGCCATTCTTCGCATCCGCAGTTCTGATTTCATCGAGCAGCTCTCTGCACGTGCTCTGTCGTGCGGTATAGATACTGTCCGGCTACCTCATCGCCTCTTCCGCACTGCACAACGGACCGTTGCTGACGCTTTTCCCGCACTAGCGTTTCGGCTCCTCCGACCCCTCCGTCCGCACAATCCACCTATCACCCAACTCCACCACCTTCCTCACCAACCATCGTCATCGACACCATGGAAGGCATCTTAGACTTTGACAAGGACCTCGACATTGGTCTCCTCGACCGTGTCGTCGCCGCCATGTACACTGGTACAGGCCAGGATCAGAGGATGGCTCAGCAGACGCTAGCTCAGTTTCAGGAACATCCCGATGCTTGGCAGCGCGTACCCGCCGTTCTCCAGCAGAGCTCTTCGCCACAGACAAAGTACATCTCGTTGCAGATCCTCGACAAGCTCATCTCGACACGGTGGAAGATCCTCCCTGAGGACCAGCAGCAAGGTATCCGCAACTTTATCGTCGAAATGATCATCCAGCACTCTTCCGACGAAGCCAACCTCAAGCGTGAGAAGACCTACATCGGCAAGCTCAACACAACCTTGATCCAGATTCTCAAGCAGGAGTGGCCTCACAACTGGCCTTCGTTCATCCCCGAGATCGTCTCCTCCTCCAAGGGTTCGCTCTCCATCTGCGAGAACAACATGGCCATCCTCCGTTTGCTATCCGAAGAGATCTTCGACTATTCGGCAGAACAGATGACCACCTCCAAGACAAAGTCGCTCAAGAACCAGATGTGCGGCGAGTTTGGCGAGGTCTTCCAGCTTTGCTCCGAGGTGCTCGAAAAAGCGCAGAAGCCCAGCTTGATCAAGGCAACCCTCGAGACCATGCTTCGCTTCCTCAATTGGATTCCGCTCGGCTACATCTTTGAGACCAACGTCATCGACAATCTCATCGGTCGTTTCCTCGAGGTCCCTGAGTTCCGTAATGTCACCCTCAAGTGTCTCTCCGAGATTGCCAACCTCAACGTTGGAGCCGAGTATGACCCCAAGTTTGTTGTGCTGTTCAACATGGTCATGACCTCGGTCAACCGCATGATCCCGCCCTCTACCAACATCGCATCCGCCTACGAGACCAGCTCCGACTCTGAACAGGAGCTCGTGCTCAACCTGGCGCTTTTCCTTTGCAATTTCCTTACAACCCACCTCAAACTCGTCGAGAACCCAGAGAACAAGGATGTCCTCCTCAACGCACACATGTACCTCATCAAGGTATCCCAGGTGCCCGAACGAGAAGTGTTCAAGATTTGTCTGGAGTACTGGTCCAAGCTGGTCAGCGAGCTGTACGAGGAGCAGCAGTCTCAGCCCATCGCCGAGATGAATCCTTTGCTAGGCCTCAACCTCGGCAACGGCATCAGCAACGCCAATTCGGCCAATCTGCGCAAGAACATCTACACCGACATCCTCTCCAACTTGAGACTGGTCATGATCGAGCGCATGGTCAAACCCGAGGAGGTGCTCATTGTCGAGAACGACGAGGGAGAGATCGTCCGAGAGTTTATGAAGGAGAGCGACACTATCGTGCTTTATCAGAGCATGCGCGAGGTGCTCGTCTACCTTACCCACTTGGACGTTCTCGACACCGAAAACATCATGACCGAGAAGCTCGCCAAACAGGTCGACGGCTCTGAATGGTCTTGGGCCAACCTCAACACACTCTGCTGGGCTATCGGTTCCATCTCGGGTGCCATGAACGAGGAGACCGAGAAGCGTTTCCTTGTTACCGTCATCAAGGATCTTTTGGGACTCTGCGAGATGAAGCGAGGCAAGGACAACAAGGCCGTCGTCGCTTCCAACATCATGTACATTGTGGGCCAATACCCGCGTTTCTTGAAGGCGCACTGGAAGTTCCTCAAGACGGTCGTCAACAAGAACTTCGAGTTTATGCACGAGAGTCACGAGGGTGTTCAGGATATGGCGTGCGATACCTACATCAAGATCGCACAAAAATGTCGTCGTCACTTTGTCATCCAGCAGGCAGGCGAGCAGGAGCCTTTCATCGATGAGATTTTGCGCAACTTGCACCGCATCACGTTGGATCTCTCGCCGTTGCAGGTCCACACCTTTTACGAGGCGGTGGGATACATGATTGCAGCACAGCCTAACCGACCCACACAGGAGCGTCTCATTGCCAAGCTGATGGAGTTGCCTAACAGCGCATGGGATAGCTTGATGCAGCAGGCACACAACAACGTCGATGTGCTTGGTAGTCCCGAAAACATTAAGATCCTGTCCAACGTGCTCAAGACCAACGTTTCGGCGTGTGTCTCGATCGGTACCTACTTTTTGCCACAGATCGGCCGTATCTACCTCGACATGCTTGCTCTTTACCGCAGCGTCAGTGGGATCATCAGCGCCAAGATCGAGGCCGAGGGTCTGATTGCGACCAAAACACCTATGGTCCGTGGTCTGCGCACTATCAAGAAGGAGATCTTGCGTCTTGTCGAGACGTACGTCAAGCGTGCCGAGGACTTGGAGGCAGTTAACGTTAACCTGATCCCTTCGTTGCTGGATGCCATCTTGGGCGACTACAACCGTAATGTGCCAGCAGCACGAGACGCCGAGGTGCTTAACGTGATGGCCACCATCACTTCACGCTTGCAAGGCTTGCTGACGGACAAGATCGCACCCATCCTTGACGCCGTGTTCGAGCCTACACTCAACATGATCAACCAGGACTTTGCTGAGTTCCCCGAGCACCGTGTTGGATTCTTCAAGCTTCTTAGGGCCATCAACCTGTACTGTTTCCCTGCTTTGCTCGAGCTTCCACCACCCAAGTTCAAGCTCACGATGGATAGCATCATCTGGGCGATCAAGCACACGATGCGTGACATTGCCGACACCGGTCTCAACATCTGTCTCGAACTGCTCAACAACATCTCGGGCTCTCCACTTGAGGTTGCTAACGGATTTTACCAGCAATACCTGCTCAACATTATCCAGGACATCTTTTTCGTTCTCACCGACTCGGATCACAAGAGCGGATTCAAGACGCAGTGCGTTCTGTTGGCACGTATCTTCGAACTCATCGAAACAGATCGCGTCACTGCACCGCTTTGGGACTCTGCAACACAGCAGGATTCTAATATGAACAACCGACTGTTCATCCGACAGTATACGACGAATCTGTTGCGTACTGCTTTCCCTCATATGCAGGCGCAGTATGTCGAGCAATTTGTGAATGGGCTCTGTATGCACTCGAGCGATTTGATCGCTTACAAGTTGCACTTGAGGGACTTTTTAATCACTTCGAGAGAGATGTTTGGCGGTAGTACCGGGGGTGCACCTGCTGATAACACGGATCTGTTTATTGAGGATAGAGAGGCAGAGGCACAGAAGAAGGCTGCGGCGGAAAGAGAGGCTGCTGCAAAGGTGCCTGGAATGTTGAAACCAAGTCAGATCAAGGAGGAGGATGAGGAATTGTGACTGATACGAGAGTTGCTCTACTAATCGCCCGCTTCTCGCGCATCTGGCCTTGATCCAGGGCATGTGACGATCCATCCCCAAAATGTACTTTCCCATTCGAGGTTCTTTCTTTCATACCATTGTAATGCTGTTGCATCATGCCGCGGACTGTGTTTAGGTTTGAGAGACACAAAGTCAGACTGTGGTATAGATGGTTGATGCTTGGATTGGGTGAGATAATGGATTAACGGAAGATATACATGAGTAGTAGAACGGTTAGAATTCCTACTAAGCAAGCCATTATGACGCTATCCCTTCTACGTCTTCGACCGATCAGAGTGATGATGCTGTTTAAACCTGGAACTTGGGCTGCTGTGTTGGACATTCGAGTTGAAATGCCTTGGAGGGTTGAACGTTGATCTGCAAAGTCTGCTCTTGTAGCGTATGCTTGTCTATCAAATCACCAAAGTACAAAGGTTAGTATGTTAAACGGCAACTTTGGAGGGGGAGGAGAGGTTTGGAGCTTACTCTAAAGTGCGATCGATCATCGAGTGTGAATTGTCTATTCTTCCTCGCTCTGCTAGGAGTGCATCTGCGTCTGACGATTGGGCCGCTTTATAGGCGCTATACTCGCACCAACAATAACCCTATTTTGTCAGTAAAGAATCTTTCGATGGTGGTAGAGGGGTGGGGATGGGGAGGAGGGCTTACTTTATATCACCTTGCACATTACCCAGTAAATCCCTTCTATCAATCGCATGTCTTAGATTCGTCTTTGACCTCCTAAAGTCCCTCGTGAAATCAAACAAAACCTCCCTATGTCTTTGAACCGCATGTAGTTGCGCCGATGTTGGTGGTGTTTCAGGATCATCGAGCTTGGTTGTTAACGCATCTACCGCTTCAGAAAGCTGATTTATGAGTAATTCCAGTTCAGATTCTAACTCAAGATGCTCGGATAGATCTTCCTTCCGAGAAAGGGGGGAGGAGGCATCCATGTCTAGGGTCGTATGATCAGCGTATATGCCCGCAGATCCGGGGGCAGAAGAGGAGGTAGAGGGTGCATCGGCAGAACGTGCAATTTTGGATGCAAGCTGGGAATAGCTAGTGAGACGTGCATCGATGGTCGATTCGAGATTGCGTGTTTTCCGTCTTAGGACATCCCATGATTGTGGTTCCGACATGCTGACGACGATGTAGTTTGAGAAGAGAAGTCAAAGCTGGTGTTGATGAGCAATATCGATGTCGGATAGGACAGAGAAGAAATCGGCCGAAGCGACTTTAGCAGCGCGATATGATGTGACGCTTCTATGGCGTGGCTGGTTGGACTGTTGTTTGGATTTGGACGACCATGTGAGGGTTGACGTGGAAGCCGTCGAGGAGGCAGTGAAGGGCTGGGAAGAAGGGAATAGAGTGTTGGACCCTGCTCAAAAGCACACTTTTCCAGCCTGTGTTCTCCACAAATGCGACACGCCAAAACATCGGGACTCGGCATCAGGTGTGCTCTGAATTTTACTCGGGCGAGACAGCTCTTTTCGCTGCTCCTCAAGCAATGGAGGCGAGGGGAAAACAATCGACGATATCCAGCTTACTAACAGGGACAAGATTGAGTTTCAGAGCGGCACTGCTGACCGTTTTCTGACCCTGACAAGCAACGATCATCGTCCGTGCGTTGTCCCGTCAAAAGCGCATTTATTGTTCCTTGACAGGGCCGCTAATGCCTCCACCTCCCCCGGGCCTTGGAGGGGTCAAGTCTACGAACCGTCAGCGGAAACAACATGCTTAGACCGGTGATCGCGGATTGGCAGCTCAGAGAAAGGGTCTTGCCCTTCAATCGTTCCGCTCGACTGTCTGAATGATTTTTGACAACTCTGACTGACTTGCAAAGATAGAGAGAAAGAGGCTGCCTCGTGCGAGAGACCGAAACCTGGCGAATAGACACCATTTCTATCGACTCCAAAATGTGTGAATTTCTGTCCATCTTTGACTGCTCCCATGCCTCCACCTGTCTCTTTTTGCTTCTTCAAGCGCGACAGGCAGGCCATTCTCCGCTGCTTGGCTGCTTGGCTGTTCCTTCTTCTCCCCTCTCTTCCACCTCCACACAACCCACACCCTCTCTTTTGGCTTTCCATTCGGCATTCCTCCTCACCACAACCTTTCGCATTCTCTCTCTCTCTCTCTCTCTCTCTCTCTCTCTCTCAAAAGATTCGCAACACCATCCCGTGCTGCCTTGCACTGTTCCCTCCTCCGCCAACCTGTGTGGATTGACCATCGTCCATTCCTCGGACGCTTAGCTCATTATCGGATCGACTTGACTCCCTTTTCGCCAACCTTGATTGATCGCCACATTCGGTGCGTAATGGCTTCTCGTCAAACGTAACAAGGATCAGGCCCATTCTTCCTCCTGGACGTCAACACGACACCATCATTCCCTCACTTCACCTGGAAATCGCTATCTCTTGAAGCTTGCACGCCGGATTCAAGAAAAAGCACTCGACACACGCTCGTCTATCCAAATTCCAAGGCCGAAGCTTGGCCTTGACTAGCTGCATTCCGTCGCTGTCGAGTTCTGCTCAGCTCGACAGCGCGCCCTCGAACTCATAGCCAACATGCAGAGCGACTACTTTGGTGCCGCTGCCGACCCAGAAAGCGGTCGCCTTCGCTCTCGCCCAGACTCACCCACTCCATCTAGCCCAGCACGTAAAATCCAGAAGCGCGGCTCGATCACTTTCAATGCATCCAACGAGCACAGCAAGGACGATGACGATAACGCTGCAGGCGACGCATCCGTAGATGCCTCTGGCGGTCCCATGCCCAACGGTCCTCCTTTCATTTGCCCTACCTGCTCCACCAGCTATTCTCGACTCGAATATCTCAGGCGTCACGAACGAAGACGTGAGTTGTCCCTCCAACTTTGCACTCACACTTTGGTGTTCACCGGTGCAAGTCGCTCATAGTCGACTCTGATTGCCACATCTTTATCTTGCTTCCCCTTGTCCCGTCACCACGACCAACATTTCCGCTGACAGCTTGCCTTCCGTGTCTCTCTCGTTCCTCACTTCCGACCTTGATCTCGATAGATGCCGACATTCGCCCGTTCGTTTGCGATTGCGGCAAAGGTTTCTCGCGAAGGTACGCATTGCTTCTCCAGCCATCCATATTCCCAGCTGCCTTCTGACGAACCACGCAACCACTCCAGCTACGAGGTCGCTTCCTGTCCAAAAACACATACACACAGTCCTAACATCTTTTCACTCCTTCCATCTTGCCTCTCTGCTTTTTAACAATACAGTGACGTTCTCTCCCGTCACAAACGACAATGCCGAGTGGTCTTGCAGCTTGATGGCTCCGTCCAAGGCGAAAAGCCAGCAGCAGAAAGCGAATCACCGCCCAAGGCTACCAAGCCACGTCGCTTCTCGTCCACTGCCAAGCCAGGCAGGCCAAAAGGCTCCACAAAAGCGGCAAAGGCAGCAGCTGCTGCTGCAAACACCACGAATGGCACTGGCGATGCTGCAGGTGCCCAAGGCTCTACAGCTTTCTCCTCCAACAACGGTACTAATGATGGCGCGGATGGACCTGCACCACCACCGCCTGCGCCTCACTCGGATCAGCTCACACACGACGCTATTGCTGTCGCTGCTGCTGCTGCGGCCGCAGCGGCAGCCGGTCATCCACCTGTCGCACAGGAACAGGACGAAGACGCTTCGGCCATGATCGACCCTGCCATCGCTGCCGATTCGCAGGCTCAGGCGGCTGCAGCGGCTACCACCGTGGCTGCCATCAGTTCGGTTGCTGCGTATCAGTATGCAAACTCGATGGACCCCCCGGATTTTCATATGGGGAGGGGAGCAGTTAATCCGTACGCTTCGGCTTCCTTCCCGCTTCCTGTTCACTCGCAGGTGGCTGCACTTCATCCTCAGCTCTACCAGCCCTCCAGTCCCGAGTCGAACCAGCCGAGAAGCGAGCATGGAAGTCCACGCTACAGCGGACAGACGCTTACACGTCACGGCAGCGGTTCCGGTCGTTACTTGAGACAACCTCCCTACGACCAGTACGCCAATAGACCCAACGCCACCTTCACCAACGCTGCTGATGCTGCTATCTGGGAAGGCTTGGATACTGCCAAGTTACCATCTCCTGGTCATGTCACCACGCCAGGATCGGCTGCACGAGCAACAGCAAGCATGCTTGCTTCATTGGGTTTCCCGGTCACCTCGCCGCTCAGCCATCTCGGTGATCGTTCACGAACAGGATCGCATCTCGGATCGGATGCCAGCTATTTCCGCTCTACGGCGCCAGGTCTCTCGGGCGGTGTTGGCACAGCTTCTTCGTCCAATCTGGCCGGCTACGGGTCCAACAACGCCAATAGTCCTGCTTTCTCTTTTGGTACCTCTACATCCTCTGCTGATACGGGTGCCTCCTCATCAGCTCAATCAGGCTCGAATGTGACGGCTGTCGCCGGCACAAGTCAGGGTCAAGAGGCGTCAGGTGCTACTGCACCAAAGGAGCCTGTCCGTTTCTCGGTATCCACTTTGGGTCCGCTCTCGCCTTTCTCCAACACGGTACTCAACTCGTCCATGTCGCCGTACCTCTCAGCATTCTCTAATGCTCGTGATACACCGTTCGTCTCTAGCCCTCGATCTACGATGCCAACTACACCAGGCGGTGGCTTGGCGTCGCTAGATCTTGGCGGGCAGTGGACAGGCATGCGTCCACCTTCCCGCACCGTCAGTCGACACAATAGCTTGCAGGGAATTAATATCTCGTCCACAAGTCAGAGCACGTCACCCCAGTCAGACGGCGTTCCTGCAACGAGCAAGTTGGGCAAGAGCTCGTCGAATGACAAGCTCAATCTCTCGTCAGAAAAGGCTGACTCTGCTGACGGAGCAAATGCAAAGACCTCGTCGACGTCTAATGCTGGCACAACAACGGCAGTGTCTGCAGCTACCACTGCTTCTGCAACGACGGGAGCAGCAGACATGCAAGGGACGTCAGCAACATCAGACACACCTGCTTCGGTGGCTCCTTCGGCCAGCAGCAGCAGTAGTGACGGAACAACGACCACCACAACAACGACCTCTGCGCCTGTGCAGATGAGCACGAGCGGCATCCATACCCCTAGCCGCTTTGTGAAGAACGAGTCGCAGCAGTATTTTGATGGAGGGGCTCTCACGCCGGGACCCGAAGCCTTCCTTTTGAGGCTACAGGGTGGCGTACAGGAGTTGAGAGCCGGGATCCATGGAAGCGAAATCTCCTTTTTGAACGGCCCCATGATGGCGCTTAGTTCAGCGAACTTTGGTTCGTCGCAAACGCAATTCTCTACCCCGAATTGGGACCATTCGATGTTTGCCAACCCGTGCACTAATGGCATCGCAGCAGCGTCGGCCGTGGCTAGCGCTGCTACGCCCGGCACACAGATGAGTGCGCTCGGCTGGCTCATGAGTCCGAGCATCCAGCAGTTGCTGAGTGCGCTCAACACAACGACGGCAGAATCGGGCGCTGTCGATGCCACCAACACGTCCGACTACTTCAACTCGAAGAACATCGCCGCACCCGATCTGGCCGGGCTTGACTCGACCAGCATCTCTATATCGCCAACACCTCTGGAGATGGCGCTGACGGATATCAAGAATCCTTTCTTCCTTGCGCCCGACATGATCAGGCCGTGCTACTCGATTCAGCACTGGAATTTACCGCCGATCACCCGTCTCAGTATGATTGCACTCCATGCGCAGCAAAACCTTCTCAAGCACTTCCCTGTCATCCACGAACCGACGTTCCGCATCGCCACCACACCAGGATGTGTTGCCTTCGCCATGTGCATGCTTGGATGTCACGAGGCCGGACGCAAGTGGTGGGCCGGCGAAGAGGTGGTCGAGAAGTCGCCGATCAACATCATCAACAGTCATGGCGTGCCTGATCCCGAGAATGAGCTCTCGAGGTGGAGCGACAATGGCCCGAGTCGGTACATTGATGAGGAGGACGGGCAGGAGCTGGTCAAGCCGATTGTGATGAGCGAAAAAACCGAGATGCTGATACGCGCATTTGCAAGCCGATGCAAGAGCGTCAAGGACAAGTGCTCGGTGGTGCAAGCGCTGATGCTTTTCCAGGGCAACAACTTTCTGAGCAGCGATGCGACTACGCGTATGGTTGCAGAGGTTTCGCATGGTACTGTGGTCACTTTGGCACGGCAGGCAGGCTTCTTTGATCCGGATGCAGAGCACGCTGTGCGCGATGTGTCCTATACGGCCGATGATGTCTGGCAACAGAACCTGTTCGAGTCGACTGACACATGTTTCTCGCACACTTTCCTCTCTCCGTACGCTGCAGAGGATGAGAACACCGACATGGTCTGGCGTCGATGGGCTGAGCTGGAGGGTCGAAGGAGGTCCGCGTTTGTGATCTACGCTATGGACACAGTCGCTCATCTTGATGCTGCAGTGCCGACGCTGTTGGCGACCAAGGATCTCGCTCATCTGCCACTGCCCAGCCCGGACTACATCTGGAGGGCGCCCACCGCAACGACGTGGCACAAGGCCCTGAAGGGATACAAGGGTCCTACCCTTGACGACGCACTGCAGCAGCTGCTGTCGAACGATTCTGGAAACTCTTCTGAGGAAGAACCTGCCGATATGCCTTCGATCTACGGATTGCATGGACCTTTCGCCCGTCTGGCGATGGTATTGGCACTTCTGCGAGGCATCATCGAGATGTTGGAAGGCCGAGCTACCAGGGTATCCAAACCATCTTCGCTGAGCATGTGGGTGAAGTTCGGTGCGCAATGCAATGGCGACGCACAGGTGGCGCTCTACAAAAAGGCGCTCACACGATGGCGTAAAGCGTGGGATGAGGATCCGACATGCCGCTTTGCATCGGTGAAACGAAACAAGGGCGAGACGGATGACGTGGACACATCAGCGGACGGTGTGAGACCAAACTGGTTCAAGTCTGGAGCAACCAAAGGCAACTGGCCGGAAGAGCTTCAGCAAACGTTGTTGACTCCACTCACAGCATCTGGTGCTACACCTTTGTCGGATGATGCACTGCCCATGTACTGGCTTGCTCATGTGCTGGTGACCCATGCTGCGTCGAATCAGCGCTTGCCTCTTCGGAGCGTTGAGGGAAGGATGGGCGCTGTGAGCAGGAATGGAGGGTATGCTGTGGTGAGCGGTGGACCGGAGATGCCTGACTTCAGAGCGATGCTCAGGTTTGCTAAGAACTTTGTGGCTCGTGGCGAAAAGTAGTTGATCCCTTCCTGCTCTTGTGCATCGTAGCTGCTTCGGTGCAATGCTGCTATCGTTGTGAGGAGGTGGACAAGGGATAAGCTCTGCTTCTCACTCTTGTTAAGCGACGTTGACTCGCTTTGTAATTGAAACCTGTATCTATTCCACTTGCTTGACTGTTTGGGCTGAGACTGAACATTGTGAACAAAAGAAGCTTATGCTCTGAAAGTATCGGAGGTCTGCTAGGAGTTGGCGCAACGCTGCGATACGAGCAGATCCATCAAGTCAATCTTGCCGGCCGTGATGGAGCGATCTTTGCGAGTCGATGCCAAAAGAGTAAAAATAAAAATAAAAATTGGCTGGAAACCTCCACCTTGAGTGTGGGCAAGAGAGCTGCCACTGAAAGGGGGAAAGGGAGGGGTTAGGGAGGAAAGCGGCATAGAGACGCTGAATACGGGGCCTGAAGCCGAGAGTGTCAGAGAGAGACTAGACTGGCCAGCTGTTGGTTTTGTGTGTTTCACAAGGCGGAGGGCGGGCGGTATGACGAGAGGTTGATTTGGCTCAGTCTTGGGTGTGACTGAACTGCGCGCACGATCCATGTGCTGCTGCTCCAGCAAAAGACTCAGCTGCACCGCACTCTTTTGGCCGATTCAGGGTCTGCTGAGACTCGACTTATCTGTTCGTCGTTGTTTTAGTCGAGCTCCTCCTTCCCTCTGCCCCTCTATAACATCGTCTCTACCTTGTCTTTTTGCCAGCATCTTGGCCTTCGACAGCGTACAACCAAATTCTCCGTCAGGGTACGGACCTGCAGCACTCCAGTGACAATCTTGCTCCAAATTCAGTTGCAAACGTGCGAGCTTGGATTGCTTATATCACGTTCGGACCGAGTTCGCCTCTCGCCTCGACTTCAGTTCCCCAAGCCTGCCATCATTATCTGATCTACAGTCCTACTCGAAGCACCTAGAAGCGATAAGAAGGACCGCTCTTCAATATCTCGCTCTGCGAACCGCGAGGGGAGCTTCTCTGGACGGATTGAGTCAGGAGCAGTCTCAGCCCGACCATCGACAGGCTATTATCCAACACCCCTGTACCGCAACAATACACATAACCACCACCTGACGCTCTCATCCTATTGGCGGGCACAGCCAGACCGCTTCCCAGGACGCCGCGCCGACCTTCCCGTGCAGTCAGTCCCTCGGAGGCTCGATCTCCCAAAAGAGCCCGGCTCGAACCCCATTCGCCCAGCTCTCGTCGGCCTCCTGAATTTGGACCATCACAAAACTCTTCTCGCCTCTCCACCTCCACCACTGCAGCAGCCATCAAATTTGAGCCCACTGACGATCTCAGCATCATGACACAGCATGCTGCCGCCTACTCGAATGGCAAATCGAGCGACCCGGCTTCGCATGCCGAGTCGAGCAATGGCTCCAGCAATGGACATCGGAATGGCAAGACAGTAGCCACTTCTGGCTCTGGCGACGATTATGCTGAGTCTGCTACATTCACACCGCTCTTCCCCGGCAGCTCGACAGATCGCAGAGAGCTGGTCAAGCTCACCCTGCAGTCCTTGCGAGAGATGGGATACGATTCAACAGCCAAGACGCTTGAAAACGAGTCTGGTGTTACTCTCGAGCATCCTTCTATCACAGCTTTCCGCACTGCTGTGCTCAATGGTGACTGGAGGAATGCAGAACGACTGCTTATCGATGGTCTTACTTACGCAGCAAGACGCATGCAGGCAACTCGTGCCCAGAGCACTGGTGGAGGCTCGTTGCTCGATGCGCCTTCATCTTTGTCCACCGCCGCTTCGTCGTCAACGCCATTGGCAGCCACGGGAGAAGTCAGCAACGGAGACCTCATCGACACAGTGCTGCGCAGACCAGACCTGGTCAGCCTCCGATCCATACGCTTTCTGTTGCAGAAGCAACGATATCTCGAGCTGCTCGAAGCAAGGCAGACCAAGAAGGCACTCGATGTCTTGCGCGAGAAGCTTACTCCTCTGAGCCGTGACACATCTCAGCTTCATCTGTTATCGAGCCTGGTAATCTCGGCTTCGCCTGAGCAGCTTCGGGCTCGTGCTGGGTGGGATGGGGCTGAGGGCGAATCACGTCGTTTGCTCATGATGGAGATCGAGTCAGCCGTCTCCCCGCTGGTCATGGTTCCGAGTCGACGTCTGCCACAGTTGCTAGAGCAGGCGCAACGATATCAGAAGCAACAAGATCCGTTCTTCAACCAACCACACGGCGCACACTTCTCGTTGCTAACGGACCACAGATCCGATCCGTCCGTCTTTCCTTCGAGTGTCGCCCGAACCATTCAGGATCATCACGACGAGGTCTGGTGTCTGCGGTTTTCGAACGATGGCAACAAGCTGGCAACGGCAGGTCGGGACAAGACGATCCTCATCTGGAGTGTCTTGGACGACTACAAGCTGCTGCAGAAGTTTGTGCCGCTGTCCGACAACATCTCGTCAGTGTCGTGGTCGCCAAACGACAAGCGTCTGCTCGTTACCTCGGATGTGGACGTGACACTGTGCCAGCTTGAGTCGGGGAGCATGTTGACGTTGCGTGAGCATAGCTACACGGTCGCAACTGCAGCATGGCTTCCCGACGGCACAGGCTTTGTCACTGGCGGTATGGACGGCAAGATTGTTTACTGGGATACCGATGGCTATGTGCAGCATAAGAAGAGCACTTTCCCTTTCCGCGTTCTGTCGGTCGCTGCATCTCCGGACGGAACGCATCTGATTGCGCTAAGCCGACGAGAAGTGGCACCGACGACAATGCCTTCTGCAGCAAGTAGAGGCCATATCAGCTCGTCCACGGCGCTCAGCACCTCCACGGCATCCGACCATCTGAGCGACAGCTCCTCTCCTTCGACTACTTCGACTAGCTTTGGCCACGACCGAAGCGATATTGGCTCGCCAGCTGACATGGGCAGTGGTTCCCGCACTATGGGAACTGAAAGGCATCGTATTCATTTCATCAACTTGCGAACACGGGAAGAAGTAGAATCGATCTACCTGCGCGAAGAAGTAGTCAGCTTGGCAGTCAGCCGTGACTCGCAGTATGCGCTCATCAATGTCCGACCCAGCGAATTGCAGATGTGGGACATCGGACGTCAGATCTTGGTCAAGCGTTTCAACGGCCACAAGCTGACAGAACACGTTATCGACTGCGGCTTTGGTGGTATCGATGAGAATTTCGTCGTTTCTGGAAGTGAGGATGCCAAAGTCTACATCTGGCACCGCGCCACGGGTAGACTAATCGAGACGCTGAGCGGTCATGAGACTGGTACGGTCAATGGCGTTGCTTGGCATCCGAAGGATCCTTTGATGATTGCTTCGTGTGGTGATGACCATACGGTGAGGATCTGGAGGCCGGGAGGAAGGGCGAATGTGGGTGTGAGTGTGAAGAGGGAGGAGCCAATACCTGTTTCGGAAGATTCGGAGATGAGTAGTGCTGCAAATCCGTTCCCTTGGAGCTTTTCGGATCCTTCGAGCGCGGGAGAGGTCGATTTGATGCGGTCGGTTCATGAAGCGATGGATGAAGAGGAGGAGGTTGAGACTTCTTCGCCTGAGCTCTAAGCGCATCACTCGCCAAAATCTATGCTTCTTCCAAAACCCCCCTAACTTGTCTTCACATCCGCTTCTTCTCAGTCTTCCCGCATATCGCCTTTCTCTGCGCTGCTCACACCTGCTAGCCCTGGACACTATTCCGTCCTTTGATTGCCTTCATCTCACACCTTGTTTTCCCACAACTCTTTCTACTGAACATTCACGAGTATTGCAGTCATTTGTCTTGTCCATCATTTTCTCTCGTTTGTACCTTTTGCATCTTAGCACCTTGTCCATTCCTAGCACATATCGAACTGTCTATGGTTGATCCGCACAGCACTTTTACACTGTGCCAATCCCAGATGATAGCCGATGAACTGAAGTGCCAGTGCTGAGGATGTTCGAACCCTGACTGAGTCTTGCTAGACAGGCGAGGAAGAGCGCGGATCCCGATCGCAGAAAACGCGAGTCCCGATCCCAGAAATGAAGAGATTTCTGTGTTGTGTGTGTGTGTGTGTGTGTGTGTGTGTGTGTGTTTTGCGGAACGCGAAGAAAATGTCATTTCGTCGTGAGCTTTGACCAGCTCCCAGTCTCAACTTCTCATCTCAACACCAACACTTCTTCTGATCATCATTTTGGCACATCGCACTCCACCCAACGTTATCGACATCGCTGATCGAAACTGATATCAACGAGGCTCGCCGTCCACAGTTCTCCTGCCAGCGCGATAACAGTACTCAGCAGCTGAGGCTGTGATTCCGCACTCAGTTCGCTTCTCGGCTCGCCGCTGGCTCCCACGGCGCTCACCATGTTCACCACCCCATCCAAAGCTCGCGACGTTCGATCGTCGACCCCACTCGCCGGTGGTGCGGGTGTGGGTGCTTCCCATTCAACCAACCGACCTTCACGAGCTGGTACACCTGTATTTGGTAGTCACGACCCGATCTCTCCACCCTCCTTCCTGCGACGCGCAGATGAAGCAGCAGGAGACGTTTCCTCCTCCTCCCTCTTCATCTCCAGCAACACCGCTCGACGTACCGCCCGTGCGCGTCCACGCCCTTCCTCCATGCTAACCGCCCCATCCACCGGGCCCAACATCTCCCTCCTCAGCCCCAACACCGCTTTCGACCATCACCGCGAAGGATCAGTCATTTCCGACACAGATGCGCGTTCCATCCCCGGCACTGTCCACTCCACTACCCCTTACCGTCGCACTGCTCCCCTTCCACCTCCTTCGTCTAAAGGCGCTAAACCGCAACAACTCGAAGAAGGAACCGTTTTACTCGGCGACCAATGGATTCACGTCTCCTCTTACTCCCGTTTACCTACCGAAGTAACCGAGTTGTTGAGCGAAGCGGATCTCTACATTGACGCATTTCAGGGGCAGTTGGATGTAGCCACCGGTTACGCATGCTTGGTTTCTCGCACGCAGGTGTTCGTGTGGAACTACACGAGTAGAGGTGCTGGAACTGGTAGTCCAACTTGTTTTGTTTTTCCGGTGCCAGAGTACACATCAAGTAGTATGACTAGTATTAATGATTTATCGCACGCTTGCTTTTTGACGAGAGGAGGTGGAAGTGGGAGTGGGAGGGAGCCAGCGCTATTGCTTGTGGCACCTGATGGACAAACTTGTCTCTGGGAAGGCATCTCTTCTTCGTTAACGAGACAGGATCGGGCACAGCGGATTAGGGCGCCGCTGGGGAACGGGGAGACATTGGTGAAGATGGAAAGGGTGGATGAAGGGACGGTTGTCCTTGCTACTAGTCAGTCCCGCTTGCTCCGCGTTTCGATTGGTAGTAGAGCAGGAGTGCTTCAGGCGGAGATCAGAGCTTTCTCCCAACCGAGGGGTCTGCTGGGGAGGATCTTCGGCAGTGCTTCTGCCATCAGTTCATCCAACGACCAAATCTCTTCTCTCGCTATCGCACCATCCCAACCGCATAAGCAGGGGCGAGAAGTTTACGCCATCGGCCACAAAACTTTGCAGAAATGGCACATCCTAGAATCAGGCTCCGAACGTCTTCTTGCCGAACAAGACATCCAGCAGGTCATCGCTAGCTCGGTCCTTGAACAATCGGATGAACGATATTCCGCTGCACAAAGCCTCGCTTTCGACATTCTCGATGGAGCTGTCCAGGGCGATGGAAAACTGGTGTTGCTTTTTTCTCAGAGTAGAGGCTCTCACGAACCGCTTAACTATGGACTGGCGGTGCTGGATGCGGTGAAAGACGCGGGGTCGTTTGTAATTGCGGCTCTGATCAGTATCGATTTTGCCAACTATGCAGATCCACGACCCTACGCGGTACCCACACTCAGCATGCCCCGAGGCGGTCCAGCGGCATTTGTCACCTTCGCAGATACAGTCGTAATCAAACAGCTAGAAGAGGGTTGTGAAGGATTTGAAGAGGTAGTAAAGCTCAAAGATGATGTTCGGAACAGATTCTTAGGTTTTGGAAGCGATAGCGTTTCGGTTGGGGCACAGAACGCTATTGCTGCTCTCTCACTTATCTCTGCTATCTCCGGATCACTATTGGTGGAAACGAATACGAGCGAAGTTAAGATCCGATGCACGGCTTACACTTCCGCCGCGGATCGCCAACGTGCAGATACAGAACGGTTAAAAGGCAAACTGGAGCAGGCGCTATACTATTCCGAAAGCCCGCTAAACCCGTTAACGTTGAAACTTCCGGCGGTGTTGCAAGGTACACTGATGACCGCGGCTGTACAGCTAAGTAGGGAGTTATTGACGTTCTCCAACCCGATCGCTCAGAGTGTTGCTCCGAGCGTGGATCTTCGGATAGCACTAAAGGATCGCACCGCAAAGCTTACCTTGCTGATCAGATTCATCGCGAGGTGCGGCCATATGGAGAAACTTGCTCAGACTACCAAACGTCAGCTCCGAAGCGATGCAGAGCTATCCGCTGCCCTATCTGAACTCTGGGTATATCAGAATGAATTCTACTCGCAGTCGCAGGGACAAAGTGCACTTGCGAGGGCGATCGAAGCAGTGATGCAGGAGCAGGGCTTGGCGTCGGGCGGGGAAGATGTGGTTAGGTTGTTTTTTAGACATCACGCAGATTTAACTCCAAGGGTACTGGAGAGATTGTGGAGGCATAGTAAGGGTGTTGTAGCGCAGGAGTTGGGAGGGAGAAGTAGAGGGGTGGTAGAGTTGAATAGAGTTGTGATTGGGGCTTTCAGATCTGCCTTGCGCTACCGAAAGGAATGTGGGGGCTGGTATGGGATTGTAGAGCGTGATGGAGGGGTCTTTGAGGGATGGACTGCGCAAATGACCAGCGTTCAACTGCTCGAATCTCTGTTCTCCGTCACCAGCAACGTTATTCCTGATCGAACGAGAGAACTCGGCTCGAGCATCGATTTTACCATCCTCGCCAGCAGCGGTGGGGGTGGAAATGAAGAACAACGCATTCAAACCGAGCTCAAATCCCACCTTTGCTCTCTGGCAGAGATCGCACTTTCATCCTATTCCGAGCGGCTATCGTATCTCTCCTCCGCCGCAGCTGCTAGTTCGGGTCAGGGAGGAGGAGGTGGTGGTGGTGGTGGAGATAGTGCGTTAGAAAGAGAACTTTCGGTTTTCTCCACAACCTATCGTTCCGCACGACCTCGATTCATCCACCCGCTAGTTTCCATCGGACGATCAGATCAAGCGTTTTCCCTAGCGGAAGAGTATTGCGATTTTCGAACGCTAGTCGAACTGTCCACCACGGCCAACCTGTACTCTGCTGCTCGACTGGATTCTTATCTGGAACGCTATCGCGAATCTTTCGCCTACGAGCTGTACAATTTCTACCTCGAATCCGACCAACCTAAACTCTTGCTCAGCCAGAAAGCAGAATATAGCTCGTTGGTGCTGTCATACCTTGATCAGACACAGAATCTTCGATTGGGCTGGCTTCATGATCTAGCGCTGGAGAAATACGACGATGCGAGTGGGAAACTAGAGAGTTTGGCAGTGGGGGAAGAGATGTTGGGACAGAGAAAATTGATGTTGAGTCTGAGCAAGCTAGGTTTTTTATCGGGTTGTACAGTGCAGGATTTGACCAAGGAAGGTACGCAGAGAAGGATTGAGGTTTGGGATGATTGGTTGGATTTGGTCGCTGTTCAGGAGAGTATGGTTGCGCTTTGGGGGAACTCTATCGGGTCTTTGCCTATTGATCTTCCCAACGCAGGGACTGCTGCGGGGGAACAACTCGCTTCTGAAGTCACCGACACGGTTGCAACTCGTCTAACCGAATACTCTGCTTATAGGCGACACTACATGCATCTAGTCGAAAAAGTACTTGTTCAGGCAAAGTATCTCAACTCGGAAGACTTGGTCGATCTATTGACGCTCAAAGACACCCCTCCGACGCAGCTAGAAGATTTCGCAACGGCTATAAAAGTCCTCATCCGCGCCCAAGACGTTCCTGCACAACGCCTCAATTCTTCCCTACGTGCAGTCTGGAGAAGAGCCGTGATCAGGGACGATTGGATAGCCTTGAGCGAAACAGGTGGCGTCAGCGATGAAATGGTTATGGCTGATCTCAAAGCCACTGCACTCTACGCGGTCCTGAGGGAGGTGCTGGGTGAGGAAGGGAATAGAGCTGCTTATATGGATTTACAGGAATTGGTAAAGGATGACGGGGGAGAAGAAGGCGGGGAGAGGGGGTTATTAGAGGCAAGGTTTGATGAGGCATCGGATGAGTTCATCTCGAACTTGATGGAGGATTGGCAGAAAGAGAGGCTTACGGTGAGGGCCTTTTTGGATGATTCGGATTTGCCGCGGTTGGTTGGGGAATTGGCGGCAGTGGCGGCTGTAGAGGGGGAAGGGCAAGAGGGGGAGGTGACGATGCGGGGAATGCGAGGTGAGGTGGATGGTGAGGGGGATGGTGAGGATAGTATGCTGATCGAATAAGCGCAATCAGGCGTGATCGAATATAGGTAGAATAGAATCCCGCGTAGAATGAGAGGCGAGAAATTACAACATCAGATTGCACGAAACCTTTGACTGCGACAGCAGTCTTTGGAAGTACAGAGCCTTGAAAGCTGAATGTCGAGTCGGAACCGAGGGAGCAGCTGATGAGGATTCACTTGGGCATATCTTTTATAGCTAGTTCTAAATAAACATCCAGACGCTTATGCCATTCTGCGATGTGTGTAGTTTCTTCCCGGCTTCGAATACCATCGGCGTTAGATGGTCGTCCTGTATACAGTTGAGTTTCAGAAAGGTTAGCAATAGTTATCGTTAATCGTAGCTTGGGATCGACGTGGAAGATCGTGTCTAGACTCACCAAAATTATCAAAGTAATTTTTCTGGAAACCTTCTTGGTAGAGTCCCTCAAGCTGACGAAATTCTTCTTCAGGTATAATGTGTCTCAACCGATTCAAGACGTTGTCCTCAGGTAAGGGAGGAGGTTGAGATGTTTTTCTGAATCTGGAGAGGAAGTTGAACTTGCTACCGCTGCTTTTGGAGCTACTTGCTCCACCTTCTGCTCCTCCTGCTTCCGCTGTATGGGATAGCAGCAAGAGGCCGATTGTTAGCAGGAGTACTACTGAGAAGCGAGTTATGCGCATCGCTGGTCTTGAGGACAAATGGAAAGGGACCTAGTTTGGCGAGACGAGTGCGGATGTTGCCAAATTGGTATGGGAGTCTCGAGTGGATGGTGTGCTTGATTGGTGGAGATGATCAAGTGGAAGAATGTTGCAAAGGTAGTGGATAGAGGGAGGCAGCACCTTGCTCACCTTAAAGAGAGAGAGAAAGGGTGAATTATTTATGCGACTCTTTGCAACGGTTGCTTGCTTCAATCCTCCGATCATACACTTTTGCATGAAGAGCTTGCCAAAGGACCAAGTGGAAGAATGGCGCAGGGTTGCTTGACGGAGCATTTCGGTCTCTCCATAGGGCTGCACAATGGCGTGCAGTAAGCTGCCTCGGTGAAAAGTGCGACTGTGGAAGAATGAGAAAGAAAAACCATGTCGGAATTGAGGAAACAGGCAAAGAGCAGAGGCTGCTATTGTTGTGCACAGTAGCAAGGCAAAGGGAGAACGTGTGACGCCGGCGTCCTCTTTTTTTTTTTTTTTTTTTTTTTTTTTTTTTTTTTTTTTTCTTTTTTTCTTTTTCATATCGGAGCTAGCCATTGTCGACGCTCGCAAGCGTTACTAAAAGCAGCACAGGCGCATCGAGCAAAAACAATCAAGGTGCCCTTCCCGTGGGACACGTCCCACTTCTGTCAGCTCGTCCCTTGTCGGCGAGATGCGAGCCTGGCAAAGATCATGAAAATTTTGCGCTGGCTTTTGTTCACGGCATTGGCTTGGTAGACAACATCCGACTAAGGCCTGTCAACTTAATCAGCAGGTCACATCACAGAACTCAAAGCCTTTGTGATCTCTCCGCTGTGTACGAGGCACTTGGTCAGGTTCTTGAGCTGATATTCCTCTTCTCTCTTGAACCGACTGCGGATATCGGCGAACTGATACGAAGCTCGAATGCCACTTGTCCATGGGAACGGTAGCAAATGCTGGTTGCAGCTCGTGTGGGTATGTGAACGGACGGATGCAGTCATTTGCTTGGCGCTGGCGGCAACTTCATCAGCGCCAACGGCGATCGATGGCCATCACTTCGTCCCCTACCTAGCTGCCGGTGACTTTCCTGTGAGCAGTCTGGATCGTCGCAAGGGTCCAGTGCGGTTGAAGGAGCGACAAGGGATTTGTCTGCTGCTGCTCGGCTTCTGTGTTAGGCTCACTACAGCTTGCGGAATACCAAAACCATCAAGGAATCCTTCCAAGAAACGGCTCTCGGACATGGTTCGCAGAGCAAGATGAGATAATTTGCGAAATGGCGCCAAGGAGAAGCGTTTGCTTGTCCGCAGCGAGCTTTATGAAGTCGACAACCCCACCCCCCCCCCTTCCCCACTGGTGCGGTAGCGAGGCACGCATCAGTCGACGGAGCGTTGCTTTCTCACGTGGTTCATCAACGTCGGTCGTCGTAGCCAGCGGGTCCTGTGACCGAGGATGATTTCTCCCACGCCAAGATGACAAGCGCAAGTGTGGTTGGTGGCTGAGCGCTGATTTCGGAAGCTGCCAAAGGACCAGAGTCGCTCGTGACTACACTGCGACGAGCGAGGGAGGCAATGTGATCAATGTCTGAAGTACATAAAAGCATGCCGCCGTTCCGGACAGATCGCACCTGCCTTGGATTCGTGTCAAGTCAGTCGCATTGCTACTCAACCACCATAGGCGTCTCAACTACAACTACGCAGCCCTTGCCAAACTCTCTTTCTCTATCCTCGCTCGTCAAATCGCTCAACATGCCTTCTCGAAAAGCCTCGTGTTGCTTGCTGCTCCTCTTCCTGGCCGTCAGCACGTTTGCAATGCCCATAAAACGAAGGCGAATTCCGTCAGTCAGCGCTGCCGAAGAACTAGCTCCAAAACCGATCGAGCAAGCCAGCCGAGCTTTCGAGACGCTCTTATCTCCAGCATCGACGGAGGAATCGCGTCTTTATCAGACTCCTCCAGCCAACGTGGTGCCGCCGCGAAATCAAGAAGGCTCGACCAGGCAACAGTTGGACTTGGCATTGCCGCCCACCAATCACAGACGAGTTCGTGATCCTATTGACAAGTCTCGTTCTGTTTAGCATCTGTCCTTTTCACTATAATGCAAATGCTGTGATTCGATCTGTCAAGCAATGTATCGCCTAGTCAGTGACTGCGGTGGGGAGACCACGCGGGAATCCTAGGTGCTGCAGTTCCTTTCAATTGTCTCGTCTTGCTTTCGCAAAGAGATGTTGAAAATAGCAATCCAATATGATAATGTAAGATGACATAAGACGATACGGGAGCCGATCTCTGATGAGATCGGGTACAACATGGTCCTGCTCGTTGTCAGGCATCGTCATTAAGGAGGATACACCCATATTCGGCATGTACAGTCCCTGCCCGAAGTTTGGGGACAGGGTCCAATAGACAATGAGTTAACTGTCTGATAGCATAGCTTCCATCTGCTTGGAGGAGTGATCTCTCATAAGTGTCAGACTGAGCAAAACACACAGTGAGCAAGCTCGGAAGAAGAGCTTTTGATTGCAGTGAGTCTTGGAGCCAACTAATACTTGAGTGGACCTCCATGCTTAGTATACACTAACAGCAGTTACAGCATCCCGGAGCAGGCCATTGATGATCCAATTGCGATATCTGACAGCTGTGAGGTTCTTGGCAGGATCCCATTGATTAGCCAACCCTGGCCGCTTCTTTCTTGGAGCCAATGGGAGCACAATCAATGGGGTTTTAAGGTTGAATGCAATTCTGGCCCATACCTGGATGCTGAAACAGCCAGAACAGAATCTCAGAACCATGTTGTTGATGTCTTCTCAAGTGTTTTTCCAGCAACTAACCCATGTGTGTCCAGGCCAGTAGCCAACCTTGACAACTGCCTCATCTGTGAACAGCACACCCCTCCAATCAGTTGTGCTGTTAGCCTTGGCCCATTCTAGACATTTATGCTGGTTTTTGGCTGTCAGAAATGGCTTTCGGAGTGCAATCCAGTGGTTTATACTGGCCTGGTATGCTGTGTTCTGGAGCTGCATAACTGGAATGCCACCAAGTGATGCTGACAGCTGTTGCCATGATAGAAACAGGTTTTTGAGTACCTCATGCTGAAGGTATCAGTCCGAGGTAGCTGTCCAGGAGCATGGATGGCCAGATAGTGCTTTTGTTTTGAAGGTACCATGCTCCTTAAAGTTATGGATGGTCTTGTGAACTGCTGTCTTGGAAATGCTGCTTAGCTCCGTGATTTGTCAAATTGGCAGCCCAGTATCATGTATTGCAATGATTGAAGCATGCTTGCTTGTAGAGAGCTCATTGCCACAGACCATATTGGTGTTTGAAGTGTTCTTGATTAGTATGATGGTTGTGCTATTGCTCAATGACAATGATGACCCAAATGTGGGGTAACTGGCTAAATCGGGAAATTACCCAATTGTCCCCAAACTTATGCACAGGGACTGTACTGTACGTGAACTAAGTTGAAGTAGATAAAAGCTACACAAAGCATAGAGACCATGAGGGTAGTGCTTACAGCTGAGTAAAAGGCTTGAGCATCTGAGCATGGGCCACATGTGTCACAACCTACTCAAGACAAATGCTTTGTTTTGCTCCACAGTCGATGTGGCTCTCTGCCACTCCTCTTTTGTATATATATAGACTCCTTCTCTCTCCTCGCTCTCTCTCTCTCCTATCATCATCAATTATACGAAACTTCAACTAACTACGTTAGTGGACGTCAGTTAGTTCTGCCCGTTGTCATCACACCGTATGCACAGAGATGAAGGCATGGGCTAGCAGCAACTCTGTGCATACCATAGCGCAATCCTTTTCACATCTGCAGGTGGGACCCTCTTGCATACGGCACCGTCGAGCTCCCAAGATTCTCGTCTAGCGCTGCTGAAGCAACATGCGTTGCGGCTTGCTGCCTCGGCTTTTCTTTTGTGCTTTGACGACAACCATCCCACACCGCCTGAAGAAGCTGACCCAAGGCCAAATCGGCAGTAGCAGACTGTCTCAGCTTTTCAGCTCTGTCGAGACTCTGATCGGAGCCAAGACCTTCTATATAATCAACGATATTGCCCGCTTTTTTCCCCCTTCTCTTCATCATCAACCACCTCAAGCCTTTGGGACAGCAGAGTTCTTTGACCATGGCTTCCTTCAAATCTCTTCTGCTTGGTTTGATGCTGGCCCTGATGGCCGCATATAACGCTTCGTGCTACATTCTCGAAAACGAAGCAGTCATCTGGAGGGCTGGCGAAACGTTGGAGGAAGGGGTCCAAAGGCTCAAAGGCATGGTTCTAGAGGTCACCAATGATGGTGAGTGCGGAGCCTTTTAGGCCACATTTCTGTTATCGTCTCGTTTAGCTAACGCACTATCTCTTCCGCCTTTTCATCGCTTCGTCTTCACAGGTAAAGCGGTTTCGAGTGAAAGCCCAGATCTATTCTTTCACGAGTTGAACTCGGTCGGAAGACTTGGTACGTACCCGCACAGACGTCAAAGGTGATGATTTCAATCGGCCCTTGAACATACTGAAACATTTTTGATTTACCTCGAATGATGAATCAGATGTAGGGCAGAATACGCTCCAAGGTCGAGACTGGAACTCCTGGATTAACGCTTACATCACCGAACAAAGGCAAAGACTGCTTCGAGAGCAACAGAACACAGCTCGCAGCGACCGTCCCTCGGGCTGAGTATTGTCCCGTTGACTGTGTCTGGCAGGTAAGCTATCGCACTTCAGCCAAATGCGTCACTCCAAGGTGCTCGAATGTTCCGATCGCGTTGTAGCGACTGCCTTCAATCGTCCCACATTAAAGACAAGCTTTGAAAGTCACTTCACCCCAATTGCTGTACACTCACCCTATGCCGTTTCAATGATACTACCGTTCCTATCCTCACCCACATTACAACGCAGACTTGAGATGCTTTCTTGCTGCCAGATTCTAATCCTTAGTTGAACAGTTGCATAGTCCGGCTTGAGGACAAGCCATACAGCTCATTGGAACGGCAACTTCACAGTGCAACCTGGCGCCGTTTGAGCCCATTGAGCCAACACAAGGCTGCAAGTTCGCATGTTTCTCAGCTTCGGTCTTGATTCGGGATAGTACGAATGCAGTTCCCATGGCTGTTCACTTTGTTGTGTATGGTTGCTCTTCACTTGAGTCAGATGCAAACTCAGGCGTACCGAGCTTTCCTCCCACCATGAATCCATCCCATTGCATCATTCAGAGCCCATGTTCCTCGCGGCCTCGGCCTATCTCACTACTGGGATTGACCTTTCAAAAAGAACAAAAGGAAGCATGAAAACCCCTCCGCCGCCATCCCACACATCCATATCGTTGTTTTATCCACGGACAGCCCCTTTACAATGCAATCCTCCTCGGGTGCTTAATGTCAATGCTAGTACATCTTTAATTGGATCTTTTGTACGACGTTGCAATGAAACGTCCCGCCGTGTTCATCATAGGTACAATAAGAACCCACTCGAGCCAATGTATGACGCATGAGGCCTGCACATTCGAGTCCCACCACCAACCCTATTGGAATGCACCAAGGAGAACGTTCCGATGACAATCGTCTAACGGCCCATTATCTTGGTGAGCATATCGACCGTTGATTCCCGCCACAGTGCGTGTGGTACTGAACCTATGGTTGGGTGGGTCAGCAAACTGGAATCGGTATTGTGGGTCACCTTATCCGTTGTGTTTTGTTGGCCGGTATTGGTGCACTGGTGGGAAGGATGGTGTGGTAGCCTTTGCTCGGCGTTTGTCGATCGGCAATCCGTCTCTTCCGAGACACCCAAAAAAAAGCTCTCCTCGGACGTGCTACTGTAGCAAAGCAGAGGGCTGACAATGCGAAACGACGAGTTCAGCCCACAAGTACCATCCTACCATCAGGTGTGAAAAGGTTTCCAGCTTCGCCCACGATAATTTCCTTTTCCTCATCCAGCCTGCCCCCCTTTCTGTAGGAGGCCTATGCTTGTATCGGCTGGTATCAGGAGAAGACAGACGCCTGAACTCTATCGCTGCTGGGCCCCTTGCACTGCCTCGTCATGTTTCAGACTTGCCCTTCGCTCCGACATGTTACTGTATTGTCCACAGGGTAGACGTATAAAAGCACCAGACTTAGTTACTTCGTTCTCCATTAGCATCCATCCTTCCGTCTGTCAGTGCATACCGCTTTCATCGTCGTCACACGTAATAAAACCGCGTCCTACCATTCAGGTCTGTCACTCATTCCCACACTTTCCTCCTCCTCTTCCGAAAGCGAAGATGAAGTCCTTCACAGCCCTTCTCTTGACCTTCTCAACCCTACTCCTGACTATCAATGCTCCGCCGCCTGATTGGCCCGTATTCGCTAAACTCTCCGACTTGAAGTCCAAACTCCGCATCTTCCAAATCTACGCCAATGCAGCGTATCCCAACAAGCCTAAGAAACAGAAAGAAGCCATTGCGACTCTCCAGTATCTTTTCGACAATGATAAAGGTTGGATGAAACGAGACCACTTGATTCCACTCTACGACTACCTTGCGAGCGGAGGATTAGTGCAACACTCCAAGCATATGCCGTACGTCCCTGTAACAGAAGCGGTTAGTTACTTAGGTAAGGGTACAGTGTATGAAAAAACGGCCGTAGTGCAGCCTGCAATGAATGCTTTGATCAATCTTCATCTCAAGAAGGCAAAGAGGGCAGGTTTTAAAGCTAAGGACCAGTTGCTGGACGAAGTGAAGGGTCTGTCTGATAAGAGGCCATTGCAAAGAGGTTTTTTCGCTACTGTCCCTAGACCGTTTACTTGGGACGAGGCTGAGGAATTAAAGCGAAGAGTGGATGCCGTTGAAGCAAGTAGCAGCGGAGGAGGCAGGATGCATGGTGTGCCTTGGGGCAAGTAGCGTCGCCTAGACCAACTGATCAGGAAGCCCTTGCGAATGCAATTCGTCCAAGAGGGCGAGAGCGTCGGCGCCAAAGACGCCGACGCTTCATATAATTCTCCCACAAAATGTCACAATGCTCGTGCCTCTCTCTTGCTTTCTTACCATCATCTTCACCATTCAACTCGCCATCGATTGATAGGTGGTCTCCTAGCTATTATAGCGTCACCCACCCTGGACTCCCTTTCTTTGTGTAGCCGCTAACCCAGGCCCCTTCTACGGCGGGCAGTGTGCATCACCACCCTACCCTCAATCATCCCCGCTCCCCTCAACAGCTGTCATCATCATAGACGATCCCTGATCCCAGTTCGTTCTTCCACAATAGAAAAGAATGCAATTACAAACGTACAAACAAAAGCCAAACCCCAACCATCCACCATCAACCCTGAATCCGCTTCCTCTTGACATCGATCTTACTCGCATCCCTCCTTCCCTGTTCAAAAGCCACTGCATCCTTCCTATACGTTGACTTTGCTCTTTTCTTCAGCTTCAATTCTCCATGTTGCGAAGCTAAATAATCATCTGCGATCTGTTCTGCATCTTGTCGGAACCGAATCAGTTGGTTGCTTGATTGCCAACCCGCCCCTACTTGTTCCTCTTTGATATCTGGATCGCGTTTGGCAAGGTAGGGCTTGACATCTGGTAGGGAGGATTTCATGTCGAGACTGTCGTCATCGGGGTGGTTGGTCAGGTCAATTATGTCTGATTCTAGGGCTTCGTCGAAGGTTGCTTTGATGTCTTCTTCGCAGGGGAAGGGAGGAGTTGGGTGCGAGTCGTAGAACTGATCCTTAGCGTCGGAGAAGGAAGAGGCCGAGGGATGGTCGGTGAATCCCCACTGCGCATAACCGTAGTTTTCGGGTGTTTCTGAGGCAGATCGCTTAAGCCCATTCCCGTTCCGGAAAGGCTTTACATCTTCTTGGTCCGCTACATCTTCCAACTTGGCATTCCTGGATCTTGATACCGTTGGACCACCATCTTGCTCTGGCTCCGGTGTGACCCCGCTCTGCACCACCGGATGCCTCAATCTCTGCTTCTCCTTCTTAAGCCTTTCCCCCTCCTCCCTATCCGCATCCCTCAAGCTCTTCTTCTCACCCTCGATCGCCTTGCTCAATTCCTCCTTCTTCTCCCCCTTCGCCAGCCCGATCAGTCCACTTGCCAGCCCTTGAGAATAACTGTTCTTTCCCGTCTTGCCCTTTACCTCCCCGCTCCTCGCCTTTTCGCCCGCCCATGTCAACACCTGATTATGTACCATCTCAAACGCATGTGCCGCAGCAACAGTATTTACGGCCAACCCGTAGAAAGTCCAACTCAACTTGGTCCTATTTGCGTACGAAGTCGAATACGCCTTGACGTCAAAGAAAAGATTCACCGCTATAGCGACCTGATTCACCCAACTCTCATTGCGGGGGCAAGCGGTGGTCTGGGAGACGATTTCAACGATCGACATTCCAGCACGGCTTTGATTGGCTTCGGAGGTGGAAGAGGCTAGCAGGTCGGCTTGGGTTAGGTTTTGAGAGGACATGAGTCGCGTTGCTAGACGAAGGGCTTGTTGGGCTTCTGCTTCTCCTGTGCCTGGGTGTTTGGCGAGAGCGATTGATTTTTGGATTCGAGAGAGAATGCCGGAGTTGATAGAGGCTAGTTTAGAGGAGGATTCGGCGAGGGAGGAGACCCCGTCGGTTGCGAGGGTGACGATTCGGGCGATAGCGTACAGCTTAGCTGTGGAGGAGGACGTTGAGGTCGAGGGTGAGCGTTGCTTTTTGGTTGCTCGCCGTGAGGTGGAGCTGCTTAAAAAGTCGTCCTCTGATTCGGAAGCGTCGTCTGAGTCGCAGAGGTCGATCACACCATCGTCGTTGGTAGAAGGCTCTGGCTTTATCTTTGGCTTGACGTCTTGTCCATATCTTACCTGTAAGCTGTGGCAAGGCCGAGCGACTGAGCCAGCTCCACCTCGTTGTCGTACAGGCATGTTGACTGCTTTTCTACAGTCAGTACGACAGCAGTGTAGCTTCAATAAGTAATTGTGATGGTGGTGGCGATCAAAGAAGGTTACATTGAGGGCGGCGTTGGTGGGTAGTGGTGGGCTCAAATGAAGCTGAGTCGGCAGTGTTGGTGTTCAGCTTCTTAGACCATGAAGCCCATCCTTTTTCGTGCTTTCTGGCCGTGGAAAGAGCGCTTTCTGTTCAGGGTCCAATGCCTTTGCTTTCGGAACCGTATTCCGGATTCTGTGCTTTCTTCGATCCCGTCTCCGAGCGGCATGGAAAAACAAGTCGGTGGAATATAAGCAACACCTTGCTACCCTTTCGCACATTCACTCGTCACCTCACACACATCCCTCGAGTCGAGCCGATGAATCGGTTCTTTCCTTGCCTCTCCACCCTCGCTCGAACTTCTTTTCCAACAACAGCATTGCAATCAAGGACAGCAACCATGTCGACCTCGAACTGGGCCTCAACACCTCCCATTCCCAAGGACAAGCGACCTATTGTTCTCTCAGGACCCTCGGGTGTAGGCAAGAGCACCTTGTTGAACAAGCTGTTTGAGGAGTTTCCTGATGATTTCGGATTCAGCGTTTCTCGTAAGTTCCCCTGCCCCTCTCGTCATCCTCTTCAATGTAAAGGTGCGGTATTCTGACCTTGTCTGTGATTTCTGTGGGCTAATAGACACTACCCGAGACCCAAGACCAGGCGAGATCCGCGGGCAATCCTACCACTACGTCTCCCAGTCCGAATTCGAATCCCTAGTGCAACAAGGTGCATTTCTCGAACACGCCCAGTTCGGAGGCAACCGATACGGCACCACAGCCAAAGCAGTTGCTGACGTCTCCACCGAAGGCGTCACCGGCACTGATGGCTCATCCAACGCTCGTCGTGCAATCCTAGACATCGACGCTCAAGGTGTGAAACTTATCAAGGCTAACCACGCTTCGCTCAACCCGATCTACATCTTTATCAGCCCGCCGAGTTTCTCGACACTGAAGCAGAGATTGACGGCGAGGGGGACGGAGACGGAAGAGAGCGTAAAGAAGAGATTGACAATGGCGAGTAAAGAGATGGAATATGCGAGGGAGGATGGTGCGCATGATTGGATTATTGTCAATGATGATTTGGAGAGAGCGTATGGGTTGCTGAAACGGGCGATCAATCAGACGTTGAAGAAGGGAGAGGATGACAAGATGCCGAAGAAGGATCAAGATGAGGAGCAGTGGCAAAAGCAGCATTCCGCCTGAACTTTGCACTCTCAGTATACATCGCAAGCTGCTTGATCAAACGACGAAACGCGGAGCCATGCATTGCAATATCGCACTTCCACCCCCTTTCATCGACTGCCCACAAGTCTTGGATGTGAATGGTTTGAGATTGGAGTCACCCACGCCACTGCCTCTCGGCATCAGTCAAAGGCACATACATCACCCCGCAAATCTTCTTCTTCCTCACCTCGCCATCCTCCCCCTTATCAACCTGATATATATTCTGCTTTCCACTCCCATCCTGTTCCTCCACGGGAATGAACATTCTTCCTGGCGCCTTCAACTGTTCCAATAAGGCTTCAGGTATTCCCGGTGCTGCAGCACCAACATGTATCGCATCAAAAGGTGCTTCACTCTCCATCCCTTTCCTTCCGTCTCCGCAGAGATTCACTACCTTGCCTTCTTCCATTGCTTCTCCCAGTCCATCCTTGGCTAGGTTTGAATTCGCCTGATCGACCAATCCCTGAATGTGGTCTATACCTAGAACCTTGCCTGCGCCTGTGCAAGTGGTTAGATGGTGGAAGATAGCCAAAGTGTAACCGGATCCAGAGCCAACATCGAGGACTTTGCAATCGGGCCGGAGAAAGGGAAGGAGATTTTCGGCGGCATGAGCGTGCATGTGTGGAGCAGAGATTGTTGCGCCATATCCGATCCTTTGAGGCGAGTCCTGGTATGCGAGCGAGGGTGTGCGGACGTAATTTGCTCGATCGACCAGGGACATTGCTTCAGAGACTCGGGAGGAGGTGATGAGGGAAGAGTTGCGCATGTTGGAGATTAGCTCGGCGTTGGTTGCTCCTGAACAACGCCATGCCATGGTGAAAGCTTGTAGGAGGGGGATCGTGACGGAATGGAGTTGCCTGAGGTGCAATGTTGACGAGACTGCGGCTGGTGCGAGGTTTGAGTCGAGTGAGATGTAGGAAGCAAGAGCCCAAGGCTGGGGCTATACCTTAGAGCTAAGTTGCGAGGCAGGTCAGGGTGATGAGGATGGTGGTAGCAGCTATGGTGAGCGTGGAAGGACAAAGTAAAAATGACAAGCGCGCGCGCTATGCAGGGTCCAAGTGCGATCGCAACCCCACGCTTCCAAGCTATCGAGAGCCGGCGGATGCTTTGACGCAGCTTTCTCAGATCTCTGGTAAGAGGCATTCCCTGTTACGGTATCGCTCGATCGCAGACTAAGGAGGCTGGAAGAAGAACGCCGTTGCAAATGGTATGCGTGTGCGATTACGACGATGAGTGTCCAAGTACATTCGGAGGGAAGATAAGGTTGCACAAGGATTAACGCCTTGAGATGCTGCTGGCCTAAAGTAGTGTTGCTTGTCAGCTGCGAATACCGTTTATTTGGCAATGACTTTGTCGTACGTTGTGCCCTCTGCAAGTACCACATTGACAAGATTGCGAAACGCAGAAAGCGGACAAAGATACAGGTCAGCCTTCTAGTCTGAGTATGCACATCAAAGCAAGTTTGCGCTGATCGAACTTACTGATAGCGCCGCCAGCTAGACTCCTCCGCACGTTGCTTGCAAATACGGAACGATCTTTTCGCAGGTCTTCGGCTGCCTCTACTCGGATTGAAGCGCAAATTTGGAACACGGTTGGTGCAAAAGGTTGTCAGCTTGTGTCCTTACCGGCGATGCAATAATGGCCAAGATTGATGTGCTTACCCTTATTCAATGGATCATCAGCGTTAGGCTCCAAGAATAGATATTGCAAACCAACCATGACCGAATTGAGGTTCAGCACTGGCTTCCAGTCTTCTCGCAGGATGTTGAGACAGACGTTTCCTTCGAGATCCACGTTCGGGTGGTAGATCTGCACCATAGGGCCACAAGACTAAGATAGTGATTAGCATCGCGTATAAGCAGAGAGATAGGGAGAGAAGGGGAGAGACAGCGTGGGCGCCAACGCACCTTTTGTGTGCACTTGACCTTGGGTGGGTCATGTGGATAGTTGTTGTTGATTGCAAAGGTGAACTTGAACGAGCCGGTCTTGTACATGCCTTGAAGCACAAAAGGAAAGAGCACTAGACGGTCAGCGAACGCGCTGAGAGAGAGAAAAGCAAGCGTTCAAGTGCGGAATGCTTACCCTCATCAGGCTCGATCGTCAGAGTAAAGTTGAGAACGTCTGCTGGATCTGGGAAGTTGGTCTTCATTGTCTTTGGTAGCTCGAGCTCGGTCAAGTCTGCATAAGCGGGATTTCGCCGTCATTGAAAAAGGAGAAGTTTGTTGAGAACATGCTCTGTTGTTGGTCGCGAGCGAAGGTTGATCTGAAGCAGAGACAGAGGGAAGACATACCTTTCTGAACACGCAACTGAGCTGGGGAGGTCTTCGGCTTCTTCTTCTTTGCCGACTCTTCTTCCTTCTTCATACTCCAGATCTGATGTCGGACGTAGCGACGAGACAATAAAAGTGATAAGGTGCTGGGTCGGCTTTGATCCTTTGCACTAACGATTCGCAGTCTGGTGTACAGCCGTGCTTGCTTACCTTGATCATGGCGGGCAGCTCTCAAATAAGGGCCGGTTCGAGTCTATTGCTTTCCGAAAGTATGCGAAGAGATACGATGCTGGTCTATTATGCGTTGTTGCGGCGGGACAGGACCTTGAAGCGTTATGAGGAGTTCTTGGGTTGCTTTACCACTCGAGGAGAACGAGGGATTTGGATCGATCGATGACGGCTTAAAATATCAGAATGCTTCCGATGCTATTCGGATGCTTGTGCAACGTCCGATACTGAGGCTATGTATGCGGGAAGAGATGATGAAGCGTACCAAGGCAAGTGATGGGCTGGAAGGAAGAAGGATAAGCGCTTTAACGCCGAATAGCCGCTGCTGCTGTGCTGAGCTGAGCTTTTCTCAGAAATCGAAATCGGATCCGTCGATCTTTGCTGGAGAAAAACAATTTCAACAGCACAGCGCGAAAATCGAAAAGGTGGAGGTTTCTGGCTTTTATACAGCAACACAACAGAGACCAACACCTCTCAACACCTCTCTCACCTTTCCTATCTACTTCTTCTTCTTCTTCTTCCCGTCTCCATCCCGTCTCCATCTCTGGCCCCATACTCATTCGTTCGCCATCATACCGCCATCACAACCTGTCCTAACCAAAGAGATGCCGAAGCTTCCCACCTCGTCAGCCGACACAGAGAATCATTTCCCACCATCCACCACCTCCTCCACGGATGCCTCACTACCCCTTCCCGCACCACCAAACGACAATCAGCTAAGCATTCTCACTCTCAATATCTGGGGTCTCAACTACATCTCCAAGTCCCGAATACCGCGTATTAAAGCAATCGCTTCCCATCTCGCCTCATCTTCCGCTCCACACTACGATTTCGTCTGCCTACAAGAGATCTGGTACGAATCCAAAGACTGGCGCTTTCTGAAACAGGCTCTCTCCTCTCGATATCCTCATTCCAAATTCTTCTACTCTGGCGCTTTCGGTTCTGGTCTAGCTATCCTCTCCAGATGGCACATTCTTGAGACGAGAACGCATCCATACTCGTTGAATGGGCAGCCGATCCACGTGCAACATGGAGACTGGTTTGTGGGGAAAGCTTGTGGTTGTGTGACGATCAACCATCCGAAGCTTGGGTTGGTGGATGTGTGGAATACGCATTTTGTCGCAGCGGGGGGTGAGGATGGACCGGAGTATAAGAGGGCACATAGGATCACACAGGCGTATGAGTTGGCGACAAATTGTAGGAATAGCGCGAGTAGAGGTAGACATGTGGTTTGCGTGGGAGATTTGAACTCTACGCCTCCTTCGTTGGTCATCGGGCTGCTGAAGAATGTAGGAGGGATGTATGATAGCTTCTTGGACTCGCATCCGGAGTTGCCGGAGCATGCGACCAGTTTGGATGCACAGGGCGGTGGTGCTCGAGTGGGTTCTGCGGTGGCTAGACCGGACCCGCAGAGGGCGATTGAGGAACTGGGTGTCACTTGCGATTCACCTCTCAATTCGTGGACTGCAGGGAAGCCACTGGATGAAAGAGCGACGAGAGGTGCAGGCAAGCGTCTCGACTATATCTTATATCGTGGTCCAGCCGATCTGAGCTTTGCTGAGGAAGCAACAGATCCCAATGCTGCCCTTTCAGCATCGCTCGCCTATTCTGCATCTCACTCTTCACGCGGTCGACTCACTTGCAATTCCTCCGCAGTTGTAGTCACCGATCGCGTTCCAGGTCACGATTGCTCCTTCTCGGATCACTTTGGCGTCGAATCATTCTTCTCGATCCTCGATACTCCCGCTGCGGAGAGTAGCAACAAAAATCGCAAGCTGGATGCAACAACACGTCGAGCCGCACAACACAAAGCGCTGACATCTTCTCTCCACGCGCTTTCAGGAGGCTTCGCTGCAAGCCGTAGCAACCAGATGAGTCATTTCTACGTCTTTGGTGCAACCTTGCTCCTAGCGATAGGTTTGATTGTTGCAAGTATCTTTCAGCCGCTCGGAGGGGTGAATCCTGTGTTTGTACTGTTAGCTGTAGTTGCAGGATGGGGAGGGACGACGATGTTGTATAGTGCTGTGGTGTGGGGCGAATGGGAGAAACGTAAGTTCACAATCGAAAGTGGCCCAGATAAGCAGTTCAGAAGATCGCACACTGACAATTCCCTTTTTCCCATTTTGGCGTTGCGGTGTTACAGGAACCCTTCGCACGGTCATGGAGATGATCGAGTTAGAGATCCATCAAATCCGACCCTCATCTCAAAATACTAATGGATCCCTTGCTGGATATCAGACCGGCCCAAGTGGTGAGGCTGTTCGCGAAGGCACACTCTTCTAACATTTTACAGATATGTGTATACTGTATTGCATAGACTGCATTCTATCTGCGTAACGGGACAGGACATCTAAGCTGTGATGCCAGTACCATCATTGTGTACAGCATGTCTCGGCGTAGCCGGCGTTGTAGCTGTCGGCTGTTGAGAATGAACCCCCGCTGGAATGTTGAGTGGAGGAGGCTCACCCCTCGTTGTCTTACCTAGTATTGGCTGACGACCAATCCTCGCTCCTGCAGGCCGGCTTGTTCTATCGGCTCCTGCGCCACTCGGCGAAGCAATCACGCTGGTAGGTCGTTTAGGCAGGGGTCGAGTGAACGTGTCTATCGCAGCATTCTTCCGGACTACCGCCACTTTGTCCGGTCCAAATCGCAGTCCAACCGGAATCTCACCGTCTACTTCTACCGTAACGACAGGTTGCAAGATAGCTACCTCTGATCGCGGAAAAGCGGGATGACGAATTGTGTCATCTGTCACGCTGGTCCGGTCATATCCCAGACCAATGCCGTTGCTCATACTGATTCGTCGACCGTTGGTCACCGAAGCGGGCGAACGTATCACTGAAGAGGTGCCATTCTTGTCAACTAGCGAGTAGATCGATCCCAGCCCAACCGAGCTTCTTCTGGGCCCACCAGCCATGCTGTGTGGAACATGTGTCTTTGGTCTGTTGAGCGCAGCACTCGAAAAGTCCCACAGAATCATCTTGCAGTCCTCTCCCACCGATGCGAAACGATAGGTTCTGTCGTCCCTCGACCATCTCCAAGGATCCCAGGCCAATGCGGTCACAAAAGAGGTGTGCCCTTGACAACGAGCGACAATCCTGCCTTCTCGTGGTGCCCATACGGTGACCAAGTCATCCTCACCGCCTGTGAGCAGGAATTTGCCATCCGGCGACCAGACGACACAGTTGAAGCCGCCAAAGTAGGACTCAAAGGTGTCCAGCAGACGCTCGGAGTTGAGATCAGCGATGCGCAAGATGCCATCCTCTGCGACGATAGCCACGTGAGAGTAGTCGGGTGAGAAGGCAAAGTCGGTGATTCGTGTTTTGGTGACAGCCCAATGAGAGACAGGATTGAGACGGGACCAAGAAGTTTCCTTGCCTTTGCCTGAAAGACCGTTGCCGTTTGAGTTGGCATTCACGGCGGCAGCGGCTGCTTGCTGGTATTCGGGCGACTGGAGAGAAGCTCCAAAGGGTAAGCCGGATGCGATGGGCACGGAGCCGGGTTTGGTGACGAGCAGAAGCGGCTGGCCATGGGAGGTAGAATCTGCGGTTTGGCGACGCTGAGAGAGGGTGCCAGGTGCAGCGTTGATGTTGGCTGCTTTGGGAAGGTGCGTGGCACTGCCTGAGCTTGTGGAGAGGTTGGTGTCTCGAGCATCAGGATGGTTAGTGGTAGTGGTGGTGGAGCTGGTGAGAGTGCGATGACCAAGCATGGGTCGAGAATCGCTGGTAGTTGCGGCAAGACGCGCAGCTGCAGCTGCATTGGAGCAAGTAGATGCATTGGAAGCGGATGTTATACTTGCCGACATGGCAGCAGACGAAGGCGTACCCGGCGCACCGCCAACAGCGATTTGGAGTGCGGCGCTCGAGGAGGATGCGGTGCTACCAACAAAAGCATACCAGCTGGCGGGTGAAAAGTTTTCCGAGTCTTCGCGCTCTCGGTCGTAGACGAGGATGGTGCCATCTGCGTGTGCTGCCATAATGAGGTTTTCGCTTCCGGGTAGCCATCTGACCTGGGTGACTGCTGAGCTGGTAATGCATCCACCTTTGTTGATACGAGTGTACTTGGAAGCAATGGGATCGAGCCAGACGAGATCACCGGTGACAAAACCAATGACAATGTCGAGTCGGTCATGTGCTCGTGTGAACTGGTTGATGTCGTGAGCCGAGGGCGAGGCAGTGAAAGTGATCCGAGCGAGACTTTCCTTTGTACGACCGTGGGTGTCTGCTAGCCAAAAGAAGGAGCGAGCGTTGGTGAGAAAGGTAAAGTGCTCCGAGTCGGTGCGAGTGGCCAGAATCTTGGCGAGGTCGGGATGGGTGATGATACGGTTGACAAAGCTGCTCGAGGTGTTTTTGAGACTGTTCTTTGGACGTGTTGGTTTGGCAGCGAGCTTGCCCATCGTCTCACCTAGACCTGAGAAGCCCATTGCAGGACCACCGATACCTGCGATACCAGCTGGAGGGCCAGCGCTGCCTGGTGGTAATCCTCCTGTCAAGCTGGAAGCAGGAGGATCGATACCTTGTGAAGCTAGTGGAGCCTCGAGAAGGACGCCAGGCGCGGGGGAGATTGCTGAATCTGCTGAGTTGGGATCCGACAACTTTGTATTCTTGAGGGGATATCGTAAGCTGACTGTCGACACGCGAGGTGTCGGGTAGACCGCTGAAAGGCCAAGCTGTGTGGTGGGAAGGGGATTGAGATGGATCATGGGCTGTGGTGGAGAGGTAAATCTGGATGTACAAACATACATCCCTTCCGGAGCATCAAAGGACTCGGTAGTCATGACAGCAGCGACAGGAGGAGGAGGTTGTTGGGATGACAGCAGCGATGTTCCTGGCGGAAGAGGCCGATAGGTTGTGGCAGGGAAAGCGATCGGATACGCCATCTTGGGACAAGTTGCTGCGATGCTGCTCGAGAATCAACGTTGAGCGGCAGTACGGCTCGGTTGAAGAGACGAAAGGTTCGAGTGCGAGGATCAAGGTGACAATCGTACTGTTTTGCAATGGCGAGCCATGGTGGAGGTGCAAAGGAATGAAAAGCGGGCCGGAGCGTGTGACAGAGTGTCAAGAGGAGAGCGCAAGACGCCGTTGCTTCTTTGTGATGACCGACGAGCTGCGGATCAGCTCCTTATTCGGTTTGGGAGGAGGAGCAACCCACAGAGAGATAGGCAAGCTGCTGTACAAAGGGTTCTAGGTTTAGAAGGCAGCAGTCCCAAGAGAGTGACGTTCAATGAACAGCGGCCTAAAGCCAAGAAAAGCGTTCAAAATCCAAGCAGCTGAGGCTCAGTCTTTGGGCCAGGTAAGAAGCGATAGTTGGAAGCACAGACCATGCAAAGCCTCCCGTCCGTCCTGTTGATCCGTGCATTGCATCCTTTTTCTTTTTTTTTTTTTTTTCTTTTTTCTGTGTTTGATTATTTCGGCGTAACATTGTATGCCATTTGGCAACAGCAAGCCTTACTTTGACTTTGAACAACACGCACACACACGTTACGCCAAACGCACACTTGGCAACTCGGCAGTCGTTGGCATATCCTCTCATTCACAACAATCTCAACATTCGACACCCTTCGTCATCACAACTCAGCACCTGGATTGAATCGCTGGCTCCTTCCCACTGTTCCTTTCGAACAGAGCCTTGCCATCGGTCCTTCGCTCGCTCTTCGATGGCTTGCGAGCAACTCTGGACATCAAGTAGTCGGCACAATGTCCACCGGCACCGATGGGGCCGCTGCTTCTTCGAGTCGTAGCATTGCCGCAGCGCCATCAGCGCCAACGCTTCCTCAGGCGCACCACGTCAGCATCAACACAGCGACAGACGAGACTGCAAGTGCAATGCAATTCGGCAATGGTGTTACAAGTCCAGGTAGCCCAGGTTCGGAGGCCGATTCGACCATCAACAGCACCAGCTTTGCACCTAGCATCCTTGCATCGCATCTTGGTCGCAGCATCTACTCCTCAACAGGTGCGGCCACTTCATCTCTCAGCCTCTCCGGCTCAGGCTTCAACTCGCCCAGCCTGTCCTTGACTGGCTTCAATGCCGTCTCCACCGTGCTCAACAATCCTTCCAAACGCCAACATCCCATCGACCCCAAATCATCTCGTTTTCCAGCAGTGACACCTAATCATGTTCCTGCCGACATACCCAAAGTCAAAAAGGCCGAGCTTGGCTCCTACCTCTCCTCTGTCCGTCCAGAATGGGATCGATTCATGCGCAATCAGAGCATGGGGCGGCAAGGAAAGGCTACCATCGAGCAGCAGCAAAGCAGCTCGTCCACCACAGATCCATCCTACCACTCGCAACCATTGGGCAAGCCGAATCGACGACATTGCCCAACTGCTAGCATCGCCTCGCTCTCTGCCGATTTACAGGCTCTTCCACCACCACAGGCTCCCAAAAGGCTTCCCAATCTCAGTGCAGTTCCACAAGTCTTCTTCTCCGAAGAATTCGACCTTGGCAATCCTTACACCTTTGACCAAGTCACAGAACGCTACAAGGTAGCCTCTGCATCTGCTTCGGAACAGAACGGCAACTCAGCGCCAACCTACGACGTCGCCTTGAACCAGATGCTGCAAGAGAAGCTCAGCTATTACTCGGATGTCATCGAACAACACCTCATCATCGAGATCGGTCAGCAGTCATCTTCCTTCTTCGCTGCTCTTGAGAACCTCAATGACCTCAATGCCGAGGCAGAGAGCTGCTTGCGCAACATCGTCTCGCTCAAATCCGAGTTGGAGACCATTGACGAGAAGCAAGTCAAGAAGGGTCTGCGAGTCATCAGAGAGCAGCAGCATCGCAGGCAGCTGGAACGCAAGCAGTTTGCTGTCCAGAACGTCCGCCAAGTGATTGAGCGCAGAGATCTTGTGCGTCTTCTACTGCAGCAAGGTGAGACAGAAGAGGCGCTCGAACTGCTCAACAAGCTCAGATCAGCGTTGTGGCGCAACGACAACGACCAGGAGCAGGCTTCTCCCCATGTCACCACCACGCCAAAAGCCATATCCGATTTGACATCAACGACCAGCGCGGTTGTCTTTTCAGACCTGCAGTGTCTGTCCAACATACCCGCACAGCTCGAGGACATGGAGCAGACTCTGGCAGGCATGTTGGAGCAGGATCTGATAGCAATACTCAAGCAGGACATCGATGCTCATCTCTCATCCTACCGACAACACGGCGCCGCGTCATCCGCCCCAGACGGTGTTTATTTCAACGAGGCTAAGGATGAACAAGCCAAGCCCGACTCTAACGCACCAAACGCTGCAGCGACTTCGTCTCCTCTCACGCCATCAATACCGCCAGCTTCGCCCTTTGCTCATTCTGCACGCGCCCTCCCGCCCACAGATGCCGAGCTGGCGACCCGCATTGCACCACTCGTCGTCGGCCTTGCCAAGACTGGTGGTATTGAGAAAACCGTTGCCTCCTACCGAGAAGTGGCCATTCAGGCTATCCAGCAAACATGGAGAAACACGCTGTCGGATTCCAGCCCCGAGATGGCCGAGACAGTCAGGTGGCTACTGTCTCAAGACCACACAAGATACGATGACCACGACAACCTCCCCGCACCTGCCGCGCGGATCCGAGATCTGGAGCATGCTCGCTTCCTCGAGGTTGGACGAGAGCTCTTCGAGATCCTCATTGAATGTCTCAAGGCCGTCGATGCCCAGTGCAAGCTGGTGCCTCATATCTTGGACCAGCTCAACAGTTCCGACAACTCCAGCGCTACCTCAGCGGCACCGGAAAGCGATAACGACAGCACTGTTGCAACGAATGGCAATGCAACATCCTTTTCGGCAGCACTACCAGCGCCTCCCACCATGCCTCAAGGCGTACCCACCAATCTGCCAGCCAAGTTGTCAGAGGTCCTCGTCGCTTCGGCAGAACAGGCGCACACCCTCTGTGCACGTCTGCTGGCTTTGCGTGCCACTACACACGCTACTCTCGAGTTGCCGCCTTTTCTCGTCGTCTTCCAGCTCTGCTGGAGCTTCGTCTTGTCGTCAGAGCAGCTGTGCCGAAAGATGATTGTTGGCCTTCGAGGCATCGTGCTCAGCCAGGCCAAGGCTTTCCTCGCCAATTTCCACCGCCGGCGCATCGAGCGTGCAGCCAAAGCAGTCGAAGAAGAGACATGGGCTCAGGCCGAGGTTGGCGCTGACATTCAGGCACAGATTCGCCAGATTGTTAGCAGTGCCGTAGAAGACCCGGCCGACTTTGTTGTCACTGGCGGCGAACCACGGAAGAATATCGGCAACAGCAAGGAGCCAGAGTCGGCACAACCAAACGAGAAGGATTCTACTGCGGACACACGCATGGCAAAGACGCTCGACATCGAGGACCGCCAGTACTTTGTCGTCGACGCAAGTCTGGACGTGCTGTCACTGCTCGTGGACTATCTCAAGGTCATCATCAACCTGCCACTCCTCACCACCGAAGCCATGGCTCGAGTGGTCGAGTTCCTTAAGCAATTCAACTCGCGCACCTGTCAAGTCGTTCTAGGTGCCGGAGCCATGCGATCGGCCGGTCTCAAGAACATCACTGCCAAACACTTGGCGCTCGCATCACAGTCTCTGTCGATCATCATCTCGCTCATTCCTTACATTCGCGAAACGGTGCGTCGTCATCTGTCACCCAAGCAAGCCGTCCTGCTCACCGAGTTTGACAAGTTGCGTCGCGACTTCCAGGAGCATCAGTACGAGATTCATTCCAAGCTTGTCGCTATCATGTCGGATCGTCTCACCGTCCACTGTCGCACGCTCAGCGCCATCGACTGGAACGCCGAAAAGCCTTCCAGTGAGGCTCATGAGGGAGACGAGGCAAAGGAGACCGAGCCGAACAAGTACGCTGCCGACCTGGTCAAAGAGACTGCCACTTTGCACAAGGTCCTCAGCAAGTACCTTGAAGCTGTTGTAGTCGAGCATGTCATTGGACAGGTGCTTCGAGCCATCGATGCACGCCTGGCACAGGAGTTTGAAAAGGTACCCATACAGAGCCAAGTAGCTCTTGACCAAATGCAGACTGATGTCCGCTACCTTGGCATCAAGCTTTCGACCTTGAAGCATGTTGAGTGGAAAGATGAGGCGCTGCAGCACGTTCTCAGCACTAAGTCAGTGGCGCCACCACCGCCAACCGTCAACATGACGACATCCGGTGCATCCTCGACACCCAACAATGAGGCGGCACCTGGCTCGCCTGCGGTCGACAAGCCATCCACTTTGCAGTTCGGACCCGTTACGTACAAGCCTCGCATTCCCAACATCTTTGCTCGTCGCCAGCAGCAGCAGCAGCAACAACAACATAGCCAGTCGATCAGCCCTCGAGTCTCAACTGATGTTCAGGGCTCATCAACACCTTCCGAGACACAGCGTTCAGTGGACACCACACCGCGCACCAGCATTCAACTTCCGCAGCAGCCAATTTCTTCGCAAGGCGCAGAGGGTGAGCTGCCGAAGCCGCCTGACACTCCAGGTCCTGAGCCTCCTGCCAAGCCGTCCGCTGCAGGGGCCAGGAGTCTCGAGGAAGAAGCGAACGACGTCCCACCGACGCCTCCTTCAAAGAATCAGGATGTGGAGGCTGCGTCTATTGTCAAGGACAAGGAGGTGGAAGAAGAAGATCTCGTTGCACCAGTGGTACCTGCGCCAAAAGCCGTGGCAAGAGTGCTCGCTGAAGGCAGGCGACCGTCGACAGACTTGTCCGATCAAGGCACTACCAACGATGCTGCTGCTGCTTTTGCACCATTCCCCTTCGTGGCAGAGACCGCTGCTGAGGTCAGTCAGTCGAGCAAGGAAGACAAGCAAGCTCAAGAAGATGCTCCAACTGTTACACACTCAGAGGACATGGGAGTTGCATCTGATCAAAAAGCCGCCACTGAGGCACCGCAGGTTGAGAAGTCCATAACAGACACGGTGGACGCAAGTGCAGCGAGAGCTACCAATACTGCTGTTACAGGGGCATTGCCTCAGCTCTCAACGCCCACCAAGAATGCTTGTCCCGCGGATGCGTCGAGCAACCAGCAAGCAGTCACTGGCACTCCAGGCGAAGCTTCTCCCGCACGCAGCGGTGCCTCGACGCCCGCGACAGCAACACCTTCAGGCACCCCGACTAAGCCCGGAAGGATGTCTCTGAAGGAGCGACTCGCAGAAGCAGCAAGAAAGAGAGCACAGGCATCCGCTCCTGCTCGTCCAAGCAGTCAAGTCGAGGCCCCTGCCGCAGCCCCCCCTGCTGCACCTTTAGAGTCCACCGCGGCGGCATTAGCGTCTGCTGCGGCTGAACAACCAGCGCCAGAGGAGGAGGAGGAGTCAGTCAAGACGCCCACCGCTGCTGAAGCTGTGTCAAAGGCCGCTGCGCCTGAGGCTGCATCCGAAATGTCAACCACGAAAGCAGAAGAAGATGTCAAGCAAGCGCCTGTTGAGGCAGAAGCTGAAGCAGCGAAGAAAGAGCCCGAGGAGCCTAGACAGGCTGCTTCTCAGGCCGTCGAGCAAGAGCAGCCATCACAACCGGCAGAGTCGACCACGCCAGCGGACGCCACCGACGCAACTTCTGAAAGCAAGGAGACCCACAGCGAAAAGGTCGCTACAGACCCTGTAGCCGCTAAAGCATCGGCTGAGATCGAAACAAAGGAGAGTGCAGATGCAGATGGTGATCAGGACGACGAAGGCAATGATGCGGTTGCCAACGAAGGCACCAACGACTCTGCTGTTGGCAGCACGCCAGGCACGCCAGGCGCTGGCAGCAAGAAGAATAAAAAGAAAAAGAAGAAGGGCAAGAAGAAGTAGTAGTATGCCTTACCACACGGAAGGAATAGAAGAACACAACTGTCACCACTCCACAGGGAACATCCGTCTGTCACTCTTTCTTCGCTCTTAACCAATGTAAACCACAGCCGAATCTACACAGTGATGATGTGATAGCGAGCAGCCATGATTGCGGAAAAGTGTATGTACACGAATTGGGTAAGGAAAATCGGGATGGGAATGTGAGAGATAGATGCCGTAGCATAAACTCTAACAGTCAAAAGGAGGAAAGGAGAAGAGCGCTAGATTTCGTTCATGATGAAATTCAGTCTCCGCGTTTGCAGCAGCAGCAGCAGCAGCAGCACCGCCTGTTGCTACCGCTGTGAATGCGCGCAGCACAGCTTTCCTGCATGATCCAAAAAGAAGACACACAAACAGTGCACGTCCATACAGTGCTAGGTTAGCTCTCGTCATTCGACATACCATCTCGCTACGCCATTTTAGGCCGTCTCACCATCAAGCAGAAAAGTCGCTGCAGACGGTTGCAAGGGTCCTCTGCGCTTTTGCCGATCAAACGGTCCCTCGGTTTTGGCTTGACAAGCGAGCCCTCCTCCGTCTTACAACGAAGCGGTGACGCTGTGCTATTCTGCTCGCTTCCTCGACTAGCATCCATCCTCCTTCCTCTTCCGTCTCGTTCTAGGCCCCTTTTCACCCAAGGCTTCTCTGTCACCATGTCGTCTTCGTATCCATTCCAGAGTCCACAAGCGCAAGTCTCTTCCTCCTTGCCTCCTCACCACGATCCATACGCCAACGATCCATACTCTTCTTCTCATCCGCAGCAGCACTACGCCCCATATTCTGGTCAAGCAGATGACGACGACGGAGCCGACTACGCACAACGTACCGGCTATCCCTACCAACACAACAATAACAACAACAACTACTACCGCGAGGATCTAGGCGATAGCTACGACTCGAACCCTTCGCGTGGCATCAACCAACCAGGTCGAACAGACGAGTATAACAACGCCGGTGTTATCAGCGGGAACAGTCCTTACCACGACAGTGCCAACATGACTTCAGAAAAAGCTGGCTACGATGATGCGTATGCTGCCAAAAGGGCAAGCGGCAACAGCATCTGGACGAAAGATGACAAGCGTGCGTTTGCATCACGGAGTGCTCCTGCCAAGATCTGCCGTTTCCTGATCGGTAACCTCATCCTCGCCATCATCATCATCGTTTCGATCATCTGCCTGATTGTGATGTTCCTTCGTCCTCCCAACGTGGCCATCTCGGGTGTTAGTGTCCCCAACCAAAACGCCGTCACCTACCAAAACGGCGCATTCGCATTCAACGTCAGTGTCGACATCTCGGTCAGCAACCCTAACTCGATCTCGGCTAGCATCAAGAAACTCAAAGCTACAGCGTACGATGCTCAAGATCAGTCCACAGCACTCGGTAATGGCTTGATCGAAAACCAAAAGATTCAACCCAACGCCAACACCACTGTGGTCTTCCCCTTCCAGATCCGATACGATCAGAGCGAGGATCCGGATTTCAGTATCATTCGCAACATTGCCACTGATTGCGGGCTGAACTTGTTCGGCGGATCGGGTGGTGGAAGTGGGAACTTGGGCTTTGTGTTCAAGATCGAAGTGGATGTGGATGTGTTGAGTATCACAGTGCCGGCGAACTTTAAAAAGAGTGTATCCTTCCCGTGTCCGTTGAGCGGGTCGAGTTTGCAAGGTATTCTCAGTGGATTGGGTAGTGCGTTGGGTGGCGTTGGTAAAAGGGCGATCTTGGCTAAGAAGGATGAGCATGGGGACGGGCTCGCAGAGACGTTGATCAAAAGACAGATGGTAAAGGCGAACGCACTTGATCTTGACAAAATTTCGCAAGAGATGAGCCCGGGCGAGTTTGCAGCAACGGTTGCAAACGGCTTGGTGAGCAAGTACTCGCCGCTTTCGCCGACGCAGGATCATCATGATGCGCTCTGAGGCGAAACTCATCCTGACCATTTCGTCTGAGGTGGAGCCAAGACGCTTGGACGTCGCGCTCCTTCAATGTCCTTTGTACTCTTCACTCTCATTCTGTATTGTTTCGCTCGCAATGCTATTTCTGCATGGACATTCATCCACTTCTCATCCTCGTTGTATGTGTGATCGTTGGTAGCCACAACTGTGACATTGCTATATCTCTGATGTCACGAAACAATGCTGACCGACACGGCATAGCATTGCTTCGGTGCGTTGTGTTCAATCGGGCAAGCCAAGCTCACTTGCTCCCCTGCTAAGGTCGGGCGAGTCGATCGCACGAGTCTCTGCAGCGGCCGAACTCGTGGGAAGATCTGACTCGTTTGTTGTTGTGTTGTGCTGTATAATTAGGATGTATTGCAGTGTGTTGTTGTGTGCTGCCTGCGTGATGTGTGACAAGGACAAGAACATCAGGCCCAACGATCTCATGGCAGAATGGCGCAAAATTTGGCCAGACGTTCTAACCCAACTTGTGTGAGAGAAGGCAACACATGGCTAGCGTCGCTATATATCGTGTCCCTCTGGACGTGACTCTTTCAGACAACAGAAACTTGACTGAGTCCTGGCCAGCTTCGGAAGGTGCATCACGTGATCGTAAAAATTTGCGTACGCGTCTGGGCTGGACTCAACAATCGAATTCTTCCGCCCTCCGCTCCGCTCTTCACAACATCAATCCGCTCTCCGCTCCTCTCCTCACTACCATCATCTTCTCCAGAGCCAGGCGTATGATTAACAGCCTGGTCCATAGTTTTTCGCCCTCCCTGTACACCCTCCCTTGCCGCTCGTTTCTGCGCTCGACCGGCCCCCTCTTCCGGCTGGCTGGGGAGCCTGCTTGTCGAGCTTCGAGGACCTCACGGCTCTTTGCCTGCAATCCACCTAGTTTTTGACAAAGGTACCGATCCAACATGATAATGAGAGGTGACGCAAGCCGATGGTGGAGGGATCGGGACAGGTCGATCTGATCAGAGATTCAGGAGGACCAATCTGACAAGAGATCGGGTGCAACGCATTCCCGCCCGTTGTCATGGTAGATCATTAGCTAGGGGTACTCCCACCTTTGGGAAGTGCCACACAGATGTATATATACAAAACAGAGAGCACTAGGCTCTCGCCACATTCCTTCAGTCAATCGAGTATACATGTTTCTGCCCTAAAGTAGTAGTGACATCGTACTTGGACTCTCCCCGATCTCCGGATATCGGGACCAAAACTTCTTTACTTATATCAGTTTTGACGTGTTATTTATAGTCAGTTTTTAGTTACGTGCGAGTGAGTCCAGACGGGATCTGCGAAAATGCCATGTGAGACGCAAGAAACACAGGCACAGCGCAACGCTTGCTTCTTGACAATCACCTTTTCCAAGATTGCTCTCTCGACACATCTGCATTCTTCACCACAACAAAGGTATTTGCAGTCAAGTCGCTGGCAGTCTCGAACGGCAGGCTGAGTTTGATTGCCCGTCACGTCACCCTCGTTTGGTCTCGGATTCTATCATCTCTCTTTACCTTCACCAACCGGCTTTGCGACACTTTTCTCGGCACCCATCTTCCCGTCAATGCTGGATACGATATCGTAAAGCTTCCTATCCCTCCCTCTAGGCTTCTTCCACAAGGCTCGCTCCAGGTGTTTCTTGGTCTGGTTGCGCTCAAAGCCACATCCAACACCTTTTTTTTCCCTCTCGTCACCACCCTGCTATTTATCGCAGCTGGCAAGTATGAAGGCCACTAAGCTTTCAAGCTCACTCTCTCTGCTGCTCAGTGGCATTCTAGCAGTCGCTTCGGCGCAGCCTCAGGTCTACAGCAACGCTTCTCTTGCTCTTCCGAGCTGCTCCGATGCCGACGCTGCTAGTCTTCCACACTTGCAAAGGCGGTCTACCGACCAACCATGGGCCCATCAGAAACGCACCATTCCACTGCCAGCCAAGCGATCGTATGACACACATCACTACTATGTCGTCGAGCTGCATTCGCGTGCTGCCAAAGATGTCGACCCACGCGACGTGGCCGACTCGCTAGGCGCCGAGTTTGTTGAAAGAGCCGGCGAGCTGCCGAATCACTGGCTCATTCGTTTGGAGAAGCCGATCCCAGAGCTCACCGAGTCTTTCGAGAAGCGTGATGATGCCTCCTCCTCCTCCATCGCACGACCCGATGTTCCAGAGCACCAAGATTCAATCCTGAAACGATGGAACCATATCCGTCGCTCAGCTCGTGAATCCGGCTTCACCACAAAGCACAGCCTCTCGAAACGCCAACACGCTGCTGCACTCTCAATAAAGGCCGTCGAACGTCAAGAAGTCAGGCGACGACACAAGCGCAACGTCATCTACGATCCAGAAGAGATGCCACATCTCTATCCCGAACGACGCGATCCCCTCCCTTCACCCGACGGCTGGCCATTTCGTGTGAGGGATCCTTCACCTCGACCACCCATTATCCCCACAGCCAAGACGGTCGAAATGATGGCCAAGTTCAACATCAAAGATCCCATCTTCGGCGATCAATGGCATCTAGCGAACAACCGTAAGCTCGGCCACGATCTCAACGTCACAGGTGTATGGGATCAAGGCGTATTGGGTAGAGACATCACCGTCTGTCTTATCGATGATGGACTCGATATGCACAGTCCGGATCTCAAAGAAAACTTCTTTGCACCTGGTAGTTACGATTTTAACTCCCACACTGAGCTTCCGGAGCCACGCGAGAGTGATGACCAGCACGGAACGCGATGTGCTGGTGAGATCGCTGCGGTCAAGAACGACGTTTGCGGTCTTGGTGTTGCGTATCAAGCCAAAGTGTCGGGTGTACGTATCCTGTCCGGGCCGATCTCGGATGTGGATGAAGCAGCGGCGTTGAACTATGCCTATCAGGACAACGATATTTATAGTTGTAGCTGGGGTCCTCCTGATGACGGACGTAGTATGGATGCGCCCAAGGGTCTCATTGCGAAAGCCATGCTGAACGGTATTCAGAACGGCCGTGATGGAAAGGGTAGCATCTTTGTCTTTGCTGGTGGTAACGGTGGTGCTTCCGACGACCAGTGCAACTTTGATGGATACACCAACTCGATCTACTCGATGACGATTGCCGCTGTTGATAGGGAGGGTCAGCATCCTTGGTATTCAGAGATGTGTTCGGCTATCATTGCGACGAGTTGGAGTTCTGGTAGTGGAGATCACATCCATACTACGGATGTGGCGTGGAATGGGGCGAATAGGTGTACTGCTTCTCATGGAGGGACTAGTGCAGCTGCGCCTTTGGCGGCGGGTGTGATTGCGTTGGGCTTGAGTTTGAGGCCTGAATTGACGTGGCGTGATGTACAGCATATTGCGGTGCGCAGTGCGGTCAAGTTCAACCCCGAAGATCCGGATTGGCAGCAGACTCAGGCTGGAAGGCATTTCAACCACAAGTACGGATACGGTTTGATTGATGCTTATCAGTTTGTGGAGGAGACCAAGCGACACAAGTTGGTCAACCCACAGGCTTGGTACGAGTCGCCGAACATTACCTTGCTTGCGACGGAAACGTTGATCACCGAATCTGGAACCGAGTCAACGTTGACCATCACCGAAGAGGATCTCAAGAAAGCCAACTTGGCTGCGCTCGAACATGTTACGGTCCGTGTCTGGATCACGCATCAACGACGTGGCGATGTCAATGTCGAGCTTGTCTCTCCTCATGGTACTAAGTCGGCGCTGGCTCGATCTCGTCGTTACGATGACGCAATGACCGGATTCACAGGTTGGTCGTTTATGACTCTAAAGCATTGGGACGAGTCTCCCGTGGGTACTTGGAAGTTGCGCGTTTTCGACCCTGCTCATCCGAACAAAGTCGGCAATCTCTACGCTTGGAGTATGTCGTTATGGGGAGCATCGATCGATCCTACCAAAGCTGTGCCTTGGGACTTCCCCGAGAACTCGATCGAGTATCACGAAACTCTTGCAGCCGCTCCCGAAACAACCATCATCAAGCTACCCCCCTCTTACACTTCTTCGGCGAAACTCAAGAAGCCTACCGACCATCTTCCCGACGATCACGGTTCAGCTGAGGGAGAGAACCACATCGACTTCACTAACCACGGCACTAACGCGCCGGTCACGGTGCAGCCCGAAGCAGACACAGGGTATATTTCCGGTCTGAAGAAGAACAGCACTTGGGTAGTAATTGCGGGAGGCTTGGTGGTGATTTTTGCTGGAAGTTTGGCGGCGTTCTTTGTTATGAGGAAGCGAAAGATGCGCGGATCTGGTAGTGGTGGTGCGGGTGGCAGGGGTGATGGCGGATATGAGTCTTTGCCAGGGGATGAAGAGGTGGCGATGGGATCGTTGGATGATGCAGCTCGTCGTGGTGGAGGAAGGCGAGAGAAGGCGAGAAGGACAAAAGAGTTGTATGATGCTTTTGCTGAGGGTTCTGATGAAGAAGATGATCCGATCGAGGATGGAGATAAGGTGGAGGGTAGGGGGTTGCTAGGACGTGGTAGAGGTGGTGGTGGTGGAACTGATGAGCCTTATCGGGATGATGTCGATGATGATGAAGATGGAGATCAAAGGTTTGCGCTGCACGATGGCGAGGCTGATGAAGAAGACGAGGGGGATAACAGTGGTGCGGGTATAGAGGAAAAGAGTAAGACTGCTGCAATTGTTGATATTGATGAAGAGACTGAGAGGCAGTCCGGAGGTTCAGGATCTGGTTCGGGAGGCGATGGAAGTTGGCAAGATGCTGCAGAAGGTCGTGAACTCATTGCTGGGTTGAGTGGACAGCAGCCGCAAAAGTAGCAGTGTCGTTCCTTTTTGGAGTATCATGGTTATCTTATCTCATTGAAACAATTGTTATCTTGCATTCAAAGCATTTCTTGCTGCTCAACTGGCTATGTGTCTGCGAAAGACAGTCAGCATCTGTGGTGTTGTGAGGATGAAAAAGAGACCGAGTGTGGATCGGGAGGGCCCAAGATATCGGAAGAGGAGTGGAGATCGGCGATGGTCCGATCTGTGCAATCTTGCTAAGCAACTCTGTCAGCAGGGGCTCTTGCATCTAGGATCGATCTTTGGTTCAGGAGTCCATCAATATCAGATCTACCCAAAGGGGCAGAGCCCGTTGAGGTGAAATTGCCCGACGGAGAGCACGTCTTGTTGAAAGTAGACAATCCAACATGGTAATGTAAGCAGACATAAGGCGATATGAGAGAGATCGGGCGAAGCAGATCTGATCGGAGATTAGACAGAGACGATCACGCCAGGGATCGGATGCAACCTGGTCCTGCTCGTTGCCAGACATCGTCATTAAGTAGATAGCACCCACACTCGGTATCAGCCTCAGAGGTGTATATAAATTTAGCTCGAGAACACTAGGTTCTCGCCATGTTCACTTAGTCAATTGAGTATACATGTTTCTGTCTAAACCAGGAGTGACATCGTGTCAGGGGTCTCGCACCTGAAACCCAGGTCGGTCTGTCGAGATACTTGGTGACTATCAAACTGTGTGACAGCTATTGTCTCAGTATCAGTGACTATCAAGTTGTGCAGTGACAACAGGTGGCATTAATTGTATATACTATTGTAGGTTTCGGCTGACCTCTGTGGACACTCTGTTCAGGGGTAGCTCGGCATGATCAATATCAATGCTTCGGTTATGATGACACCAAGGTCTGGTGTGAGTGTTGATGATGATGAGGTTGATGATGTTGGTGATAAGGTTGGTGAGTGTTGATGATAATGAGGTTGATGGTGTTGGTGATAAGGTTGGTGGCGTCAACACGAGTGTCCAGTGTGTTGACTTGATGCTTGAAGTGATCCCCGGACCGCAGTGGACTACTGCCTTTGGTTCTATCTATATCCAGACCACTAACTTGCTATGGGGCACCTACAGACATCAGGTAGTGGTGATACAACACACACACTACAATGAGGAGCAACCTTGATAGATTGCTGCTATGCTGACTGTAACTAATGAGTACTTGTGTTTCTAAAGTATTGACTAGTTGTATGGTGAGTAGAGTGGATGAGGATCCACTCGACCTATGATGATGAGAAAGCATGGTTATATACCTCTTCACAGCATCGCCAGCAATGCTGCTCCTGCTCTCTCTCCAGAGAGTACCTTCTTCATCGAGTACTGCTCAGGGGCCTCTCCTGCTTGGCACCCCTGTGCCTCTTGAGCTGTGTTGACTCCTTCGACACTGCTCCTCCTCCTCATGACCTGGTGTCGACTCCTTCGACACTGCTCCTTCTCCTTTGATCAGTGACAGTTCCTTTGGCTCTTGTCTCTCAAGCCCCTGAGTGGTAACCATCTGCATGCTCCTTGAGCTTGGTCCTCTTTGTGGCTGTGCCTGCTCCTTGAGCTTGGTCCTCCTCGTGGCTGTGCTTGGCCCTCCTTTGCATGTGAGTCCATAGGTGTCCATGGTCTCCATGGAGACTGCACTACGACCATGCTCTCTACTGATCTCGACTAGATCTTCGATACCTGTGCTCCTTCCATATGAACCTGTGACCCTCCTGCTTCCTGAGCATTTAGGCCCATGACACATCGTACTTAGACTCTCCCCGATCGCCAGTATCGGGACCAAAATGTCTTCACTTTTCAACATGTCTTTCATGTGATGTAGTTTAGTTGAAGATGCGTCGGCAACTCAAGCAAGATGCATGTGTCACAGCCGAGACACCAAGGCACAGGAGGCTTACTTAAGCGAGAAGCACAATGAGGCACATGATTGTTGTCATGGCGACAGCTCAGTGGCACTCAGTATCATAGCAACATAGGAGTACAAATGAAGTGACATGTCCCATCTCAGATAGGACTAGAGCAGTGAATGGAGTATATATATGTGTTTGTCATTTAGGTTCACACTATGAAAACTAAGCATTACATAGAACATACAGCTGTTGTAAAGGGAGTCTGATTGTGACCCCAATAATGCCATGTATTAATTGTTATCTTCAATTGATTAAGAGTCTGAAGAAGCTATCACCGAGCCAACCAAAACTCATTGACAACAATGGTAGAAGACACTGAAATAAGGATCAAAGGAAGCAGAAAAGGCAAGAACACCCAGGTTTGGGTAGACAACGATGCCACAAACGAGAATGAGCCAGAGGTCATTGACAATGAAGCCAATGAAGACACTGATTCCAACTCCAACTTCAATGATGGTGACAAGTGATATAACTTTCGCACCCTAGCAAAACTCCTCAAACCTGTGCCAAAGCTCACATCACACAGCTATTATAGCTGGAGCACTCACATGAAATCTTTCCTCTGATCCATGCCCCATGCGATGAAACATCTTGAGGGAATGTATGACAAGAAGCACCCGAAATGGAGCCACTCCCTCAATGATGCTTTAATTAATGCCCTGTGTGGAACAATCAACACTACTGGAGAACACAATGTAAATTACCTCATTCTAGATGTAATCAAAGAGTACCTTACTTTCAATCAAGTATGGAGAAAGATTGAAAATGGTCTCATGAACGAAGCCACCAAGATGTCTCACAGACTTGTGCTCATCTCGCAGCTCAATGATACAAAGATGTTTCACTCAGATGCCAGAAAGCTAATTCAAGAGATCTGGTCCATACAGACTGAAAGCAGCCTCCTCAGCAAACCATTTGCTGATGATACATTGTTCTTGGCTCTGCAGAAATGCACGATCCAGCATCCAGTGTATAAGGAGACAGTTGCTACCATCCATCAAATTGATTTCAACACCCTCGCCACCACACTAAGCATCCAGCAGACCGCTGTCGAAAGTGTCCCTGCACAAAAGATCGACCCCCAACAAGCCAGCACTAGAACTGCTGGCAACAACAATCAAAATGAACAGACCAGAGAGACTGAAGCCGAAGCCGACAACAGCCATGTGAGCTCGAGGAATGCAGGCAGACCACTCCTGCCTTGCTAAACCTAAATAGGAAGTGTGGTGCTCCCTCACCCTCCCATTGAAGTGGCAAGACCCCCTGAACACAAAAGAGACAGCTCATTGGATCTTGGACTCGGGGGTGAGTTATCATATGGTGAATGACTATAGCATGCTCATCCATCCAAGAACTTGCCAAAAGTGGATAATTACCACTGGAAGCGAGGTCTTGGAAGCGGCAGCTATAGGAGATGCAAGCATATCAACAGATTATGGGGAAATCTCCCTACAAAATGTATTATATGTGAAGCACCTTAATGTTAACCTTCTGTCAATGAATTCATTAACGGATGAAGGAGCATGAGTGATATTGGACACAACTGGTGGTCAAATTTTTCTAACAAATGGCATGACACTTAAGATTGCAAAGAATTGTGAGTGAGGACTTTTGGAGTTCTGAGGCGACACATGGCAAGAAAGCATGATGGCCACATCAACACCATTGTTTGAAGGCGTTGATGAGGAGTTCGAGCATATTGAGAATGAGCCAAAAGTTTTGAAGCAACAACTATGGCATGAGCATCTCAGACACCCAGGGAGGGATAAAGCTAAGGCGATCATGAGCAAGTTAAAGGATAAGCATACCATGGAATTGGATCCAAACACTGCTCTGACATGTGAGCAGTGTGTACAATCCAAGAGCACAAGCACTTGAATGGGGCAAGGTAGTGGTGAAAGAACTGTAGGGCCCCTGGATCTTATCCATGTTGATCTAATAATAGATTCATCCCATGTGACAGAGTACACATGCATGTTAGTGCTGGTCAACGATCATAGCAAGTATGTGTATGAACAGCCATTGACACAAAAGAGTCATGCATTTATGCAACTCAAAAGGATTGTTTCATTCCTGGAAACACAGACAGATTGGAAGCTAAAAGCAATCCAATCCGATCAAGGAACCAAATGGAGAAGCAATGATGCATTGGAATGGTCGCTAGAAAGGGGCATAGAGTGGCAAACCACCATAGGATACAACAGTAAACAAAATGGATGGGTAGAGAGAATGAACAGGACCCTTGGAGAGAAGACAAGGATGTTGCTAATGCAGAGGAGACTATGGAAGAAGTTCTGGCCATATGCAATCAGAGCTGTGGCATTCAAAATAAACCTCACTCTGAGTGTTGATAATGAATTCCCTTACCAAGCCATGTTTGGCAAGTCACTGGAGCAAGCTTTAAGACTTCTACAAGTGTTTGGTTGTCTGGCATGGGTAAACATACCCAAAGTCAAATGGGACAACAAGAAACTGGACCAGCAAGCCATCACATCCTTTTTCTTGGGATACAGTCTAGAGAGAAAGGGCTGGCTATTCTACAGTCCAGACTATAATCCAAACATGTTCTGGAGCAATTCAGCAAAATTCATGGAATCAAAGTGCTGGTCAGACAGAACAGAGTGGTGACTGGTTGACACAAAGGCATGTCCAGCGATGATGACAGAAGAGAATTTTGAAGATCTAGGATATAACAAAGAAAATATATTTGACAAAACAGATGAAGGGCCACTACAAGAATACATGGATATGGAGACAGATTTGGAAGAAAAGTTAAGCAGAGGAATGGCAGAGGTGCTGGAACAAGGATCAATCACTGAAGCCCAGATTGACAGTAAATCCTTTGGACTCATAGCGATGTGACCAGAATGGAGAAAGAACCTGGACCCAACCATACATGAAGCAATGAATGGAGAAGACAGAAAGCACTGGGAGGAAGCCATGTGAAAGGAGCTGGATGGATTAGAAGCAATGGGCACGTGGGAGATTGCTGACCTCCCAAAGGGTGCAAACACCATCAACATGCATTGGGTACTCAAGATCAAAACCGATGCAAACCTCATGCCAACAAAGTTCAAAGCCCGGCTTGTGGCATGAGGTTTCACCCAATGCGAGGGCATTGACTACACAGAAGTCTTCGCACCAGTAGCACCCATCCAATCCATTTGAGGGGTGATCGCCATTGCAGCAATATGAGACTGGGAAATAGACTCTATTGATGTAAAACAAGCATACCTGAACTCTACTATACACCATGATGTATATCTAAAGCCCCCAGTAGGAATCAAAGTACCACCCAGAAAAGTGTTGAAGGTAGTGAAAGGACTGTACAGTCTGAAGCAATCGGGCTGAGAATGGAACATTGAGTTAGACTCACATCTCTGGATGATTGGTTTTCATTGCATGCCGAGCACACCATGCCTATACTCAAGAGGGACAGGTGACAAGATCACAATCATTACAGCATATGTGGATGACATGCTGATAACATCACCCAGTCATGATGAAGTAGACCACACTAAGCAAGAGATCATGGACAAATGGGAGACACAAGACAACAGAAGAATCAAAGAATTTCTGGGTATCAAGATCACATGTGATAGAAGACAGAGGAAGATATCTCTGGGTCTAATGGCATACATCAAAGAAATGGTGAACAAATGGTTAGGAGGAGCAAACAAGAAATCTTGGGTACCTATGCTGAGCATAGTGAACATTGCCAGAGGTGAGAGATGTGATCCTCAGCAAGCAAAGAAGTATCAAGAGTTGGTTGGCCAACTATTATGGGTCTCCAACACAGCCTGACCAGATATTGCCTTTGCCATTGGTGTATTATCACGATACATGTCGATCCTGATCAACAGTGCATGGAAGGCAGCCATTCATGTGGTAAAGTACCTGAACCAGATGAATGGATATCAGTTACACTTAGGAGGGGAGGCAAACGAGCACTCAGATACACTGGTAACGATGTATACTGATGCAAACTGGGCATCTGACCCCACAAATGGATGAAGGAGCACCTCGGGGTCAATAACATATGTGTATGGATGTCCAGTGAGTTGGAAGTCTCACATTCAAAAATGTGTAGCATTGTCAGCAGTTGAAGCAGAGTTTGTCACCGCTTCCGAAGCAGTGCAAGAAGCATTGTTCTTCTCATATTTGCTCCGGGATTTGGAGATCACAGACATTCAGCCCATACTATACACTGATAGCCAGGGGTGCATGCAGGTGAGTAAAGATCCAGCCAAACATTGGAAGTTAAAGCACATCGACACATGGTATCACTTCATCCGCAATCACATGCAAGAGGGCGATGTGGCAATCAAACATGTTGGGACAGCAAACAATGTTGCAGATGTCTTGACAAAACCTTTACAGGGTCTCAACACCTCATGATTGGTGTCATGGGCCTGGATGCTCAAGAAGCAGGAGGGTCACGGGTTCATATGGAAGGAGCATAGGTATCGAAGATCTAGTCGAGATCAGTAGAGAGCATGGTCGTAGTGCAGTCTCCATGGAGACCATGGATGTCATGGGCCTGGATGCTCAAGAAGCAGGAGGGTCACGGGTTCATATGGAAGGAGCACAGGTATCGAAGATCTAGTCGAGATCAGTAGAGAGCATGGTCGTAGTGCAGTCTCCATGGAGACCATGGACACCTATGGACTCACATGCAAAGGAGGGCCAAGCACAGCCACGAGGAGGACCAAGCTCAAGGAGCAGGCACAGCCACAAAGAGGACCAAGCTCAAGGAGCATGCAGATGGTTACCACTCAGGGGCTTGAGAGACAAGAGCCAAAGGAACTGTCACTGATCAAAGGAGAAGGAGCAGTGTCGAAGGAGTCGACACCAGGTCATGAGGAGGAGGAGCAGTGTCGAAGGAGTCAACACAGCTCAAGAGGCACAGGGGTGCCAAGCAGGAGAGGCCCCTGAGCAGTACTCGATGAAGAAGGTACTCTCTGGAGAGAGAGCAGGAGCAGCATCACTGGCGATGCTGAGAAGAGGTATATAACCATGCTTTCTCATCATCATAGGTTGAGTGGATCCTCATCCACTCTACTCACCATAACTAGTTATCACTTCAGCATAAGTATATATTAGTTTCAGTCAGCATAGCAGCAATCTATCAAGGTTGCTCCTCATCGTAGTGTGTGTGTTGTATCACCACTACCTGACGTCCGAAGGCGCCCATAGCAGGTTAGTGGTCCGGATCAAGATAGAACCAAAGGCAGTAGTCCACTGCGGTCCGGGGATCACTTCAAGCATCAAGTCAACACACTGGACACTCGTGTTGACACCACCAACCTTACCACCAACACCATCAACCTCATTATCATCAACACTCACCAACCTTATCACCAACGTCATCAACCTCATCATCATCAACACTCACACCAGACCTTGGTGTCATCATAACCGAAGCATTGATATTGATCATGCTGAGCTACCCCTGAACGGAGTGTCCACAGAGGTCAGCCGAAACCTACGATAGTATATCCAATGAACGCCACCTGCTGTCACTGCACAACTTGATAGTCACCAATACTGAGACAATAGCTGTCGCACAGTTTGATAGTCACCGAGTATCTCGACAGACCGACCTGGGTTTCAGGCGCGAGACCCCTGACAATTGGCTAGGATGATAGGGCTGGAGATCCTGCTGAAGGGGGGAGTTGAAGATGTGTTGGCAACTCAAGCAAGATGCACATGTCACAGCTGAGACACCAAGGCACAGGAGGCTTACTTAAGCGAGAAGCACAATGAGGCACATGATTGTTGTCATGGCGACAGCTCAGTGGCACTCAGTATCATAGCAACATAGGAGTACAAATGAAGTGACATGTCCCATCTCAGATAGGACTAGAGCAGTGAATGGAGTATATATATGTGTTTGTCATTTAGGTTCACACTATGAAAACTAAGCATTACATAGAACATATGGCTGTTGTAAAGGGAGTCTGATTGTGACCCTGATAACGCCGTGTATTAATTGTTATCTTCAATTAGTTTCGCATTTTCGGCCTCTTTTTGGCTGCACTGTCTGAACTGTCTGCAGCGGGAAAGCATTCCTCTCTCTCTCCCATCCAGCTTTTCTCCGCACTGGGAGATGCCAAGTTCGCATGGATGAAAGACGGCTTTTGGAGGTCCTCGTCTGTTTGTACGACAGTCGCGAGTGTAGACTGAGTTTGCTGTTCCGCGTTCATCGATGGGAAGTCGTTGATTTACCCTTCATGCGTTGTTCCCCGCGCCGGTGGTACGAAGTGTTCAATGCTAATTCAGATACATCCAATGTTCTGCTGTTTTGTGTGCTGAAGGAGATACTGTTCTCCTCATAACGATTTCGAGGCAGTTTGAGTGCTTTACAGTGTTGCTCAGCCGTCCAACCACGACTGAGGCTCGAGAAGTGCAAGTTGTGCCCCGGCATCAGCCAGCCTCTCGGATCTACAAGGAGGCATCAAAGTCCCCACCCCAGTCAGCCGGGAGGGCAAGAAGTTTTGGCTTGTTTCTATGAATGGGAACATTTCCAGCAGCTCTCTTTTCAGGCGAGCAAACATCAACGTTGCGGAATCCGAAAAGCCATCTTGCCTCTTTGAGCCTTGATGGAGTGTCTCGCATCTGACAAACGGGCTGCTCGAAATGCCAATTGCCCTGGGGTTGGCGGGGAAGAAGAAAAAAAAAGAAAAGAAAAAAAAAGAAAAAAAAAAAAAAGGCGTCGAGTTGGGTTTCACGATCTCCGAGGTCGACATTTCGCTATACAAGCTACGGCATGCAACAATCTTTGCTTCGCATGGAAGAGGGTTGACAACTCAGGTCCCGCCGACCAAAGCATGACGATTGAGGAGGGTAAGATGAATTCGAGGTGTGCTTGTGGGAGCGGAGAATTTTTATTTTTATTTTTTTATTTTTTCATGTCGCCTCGAAGCAGAGTAAAGGATGGCTTGAACCATCTTTCTTCTCTGTCAGTGACGCTTTTGACTGTTAGGTGGTTTCGCACTCGAAACTTGCAGTGAGGTAATCCTCCTACGACACTTCATCAAATGCCCCTCTCACGCTCTATTCAATCCTCTGTCTTTGTTAGCTCCGCTGGCTACGCCCACACAGTATTACATCAGATGATGATGATAGCCTCGCCCTTGCAGTAGCAGACTGAGACGCCCGCTCTTTTTTTGTGACAAGAACCCCTCTGTGTAGTGCCGCCGCCTCCTTCTTGGCATCCGGGTCTGTGCAGCTGGAGCTAGCTAAACGTTTGTTGTGTGCTGTCGGCGTTACAACTTGGCAGCTTCTCGCAGCGAAGAAAGTCGAGGTCTACAATTGCCTGGTCGGAGTGACGTTTCGCTTCGTTGCAAGTGGTCGGTTATGCCCTCAAACAAAGTTTTTGGCCGATCTCCTTAGACGTTTGCTGCTATCTCTGGAATGGGTCGGCCGTTCTCCCGCCTTCATCAACGAGTCTTCGCACGACTTGCTCGCTCAGCTGGTAATGCTCTGCGCTGCTGAAGAAGTGCTTTACGCCATTGTTCTGGCTTCCCGTAATCGTCTGATGAACGCTGAGCTGGCCATCCTTGCCATTCTCTCATAAGAAACCTGGCGTTGCTACTTTCGTTACATCATCATCCACCACAACTGTCACCCACTTGATCCATACCGCCCGACTTACGGACTTGATCATCAGAAGCCACAACACACTTCGGTTATTGCTTCTCTACCCCCTCTATCTTCTCTCTTACGTTCCCCACCACAAAGTCCTGACAAAAGCCAGGCACTGTTCAGATCACGGCCGCACCGCAAGGTAGCACCAATATAGCCATCATGTCGACCAACAAAGGTCAAGAGATTTCTCGCACCACTAACCTTAGTAAGTTCTCCGCTTTCTCGAGTCATATATGATTCGGAGGGCGAAAAGCCAACCCGTCCCAAGAAACTGACTAGATCTCCACCTCTCATCTGTCTTTCTGACTTCCATCCTGCTCCAACAGCCAACCCACAGCTCTCTGCTGCTGGAACAGGAGTTTACACAGACGCTCAAAAGGCACAACAAGAAGGACTCCGATCTTCTTCGAGCACTGCTGTAGTCAACGGTAACGGCTACCACCACGCATCTGACGAGCACCAGTACGGCGGTCTCGCAATGGCACCCGTCACAACGGGTGAGGGTAACCATCGCAAGATGGTCACCCAGCCTTCCCTCTTCTCCCTCGGATCTACCCCCGATGGCAACCCTGATCAGCCTGCTCTGCTCGAACGAAGAGAGAGCATCATCATCGAAGAGCAGCTCCCAGGTTTCATGAAAGTCGACGAAAAGGAGCACAAGCACCGTCACCACTACCGTGCTGCTCTCCGACGTCGACTCGAGATCAAGAACAACATCATTGCTTTCGTTTCTGAATTCGTCGGTACCGTTCTTTTCCTCTTCTTCGCCTTCGGTATTGCAACTCAGGCTGCCAACGCTCGATCTTCGACCCAGCACAATGGAGATGCTACTTCGCTCTCGCAAAACGCTCCTCCCGACACAAACGCTCTTCTTTTCTCTTCGCTCGGTTTCGGTTTCTCGCTTGCCGTCAACGCCTGGACTTTCTAACGTGTTTCTGGTGGTCTTTTCAACCCTGCCGTCACTCTTGCTCTTTTCTTGACTGGTACCCTTGGCTGGTTCCAGCTGCTCCACCTCACGATTGCTCAGTTCGCAGGTGGTATCGCCGCTGCCGCTTTGACCACTGGTATCCTCCCTGGTAACATCAACGCACGTACCACCCTCGCCAACGGCACCAACATTGCACAGGGTTTCTGGTTAGAGTTCTTCCTTACTTGCCAGCTCATTCTTGCCATCTTCTTGCTCGCTGCTGAGAAGCACCGTGGTACTTTCTTGGCCCCTGTCGGTATTGGTCTCGCTCTCTTCCTTGCCGAGCTCTTGGGCACCAACTACACTGGCGGTTCGCTTAACCCCGCTCGTACCCTCGGCCCTAATGTGGTCCTTGGTCTCTTTGAATCTTACGACTGGATTTACTTCATCGCCCCCTACGCAGCTGCTGTTGTGACCGCCGGTTTCTACCAGGGCCTCAAGTACTTCCAGTACGAATCCGCCAACATTGGCCAAGATGCCGACGACAGCAAGCAAGTCTTCAAGGATGCTTACGGAAACCTTGTCGGTGTATTGGAGACCATGTCTGCGTCCGAGTTCAGCTTTGTTAAGGCTGCTGCTCAGCCAGCAGAGAACGAGAGCACCCACTCTGTTCATACCGTGGTAAGCAGCTCGAGCAGAGACCAAGGTTTGACTGCGGCGGGAATGGTCAAGAAGGCAAGACATGATCAGGAGAAGGCGGCAGCGGTCAGCCTTGCTCCTAGTGAGGTTAATAACAATGTTGCCTAATTATCCCTCGACTTGAGTACTTTATCCAACTCCTTTGGCACTGTATATGACGAGTGAATGGGAGATGGCGTAGTTTCAAACACTGATTTTGACGGATGACAGCAACCCCCCAAGCTGAAAGTAGAAGCACCACTTCGTTGGGGCCAGAATCAGGCTCCCTACAGACAGATGTGTAACTACTACAAGTCTTGGTTATTACGAGAGAATGGAGGCTACAAAACATGAGTATATATACCTTATCACCGCCGCTGACACTCGCTGTGTTGTTCCAGGTGAGTCGTGTATCCTTTCCCACATAACTCTAGAGCTTCTGTCCAGTGGCACCCTCTTTCATAATCGTTGCCATGTCAACGCACTACTCGGCATACCTCATATCTCGGTGTCAACCCCCGAGAGTAAGCTGTATACGTTTCCACGAACTTCGCACTTATCTCGGTCGCGCCGACATCCTTAATTTCGGTCTTCTGGTCCCGAATACTCGGACCTAACATGTTAGACCCTGGTAATATCGAAGTATCTTCAACTCCCCAACGGGCTGGGATATTGACGAAACAAATCCGCCAACTTCAAAGGGCAGAAGAAGAGCGCCGTGCGGCTTTGCTGGTTCTGGACGGATCTTGTTTCGTCGATAGCCGCAAGCATCCAGTGAACGAGTGTTTTGCCAGTGTCAAAAGTTTTCGAAGTGTTAACAAACGGTTGTTGAATGGCGCAGGTGCACGCTCGACTGCCTCTCCGCGCAGAGGGTTGGTTTTGCTTGGCCGATTGTCGATGTCCGTTCCTTTCTGCGGGATGCAGTTGTCAGCGACAAACAAGCTGCTAAAGATGTCTGTGTCTGCCTGTTTTTGGCTGATCGGTGACAGCTTGCGAGCAGGTTTGTCGAGTGAAACAGGAACTCAATGCGCGATCCCGGTTATAAGCGAGGAGGATGTGATCATCCGTGATGTCAATTCGAGTTACAAACATGCTTGCTCGATATAGTAGCAAAACGGCTCAAATTGATGCGGAAAGTGACAGCTGCGCTCCTCATCAAATCAAACTTCGCTTAATGTTGGCAGTCGTCCAAGCAACAGCACCTCAGATCTCTGGCACTGGCACACAATCGGCATCGGAAAGCAAGATGTGTTCTCAAGTTGATAGGACACTTCTTCAGTCTGGATTACAGTTGTGTTTCTACTCCTCCCACCTGAGTTGCTCCTCCGGCACCACCAGCAACTCTAGCATGCAACCCGTAAACCGCCTCCCTGACACTTCTGAAACTCTTTGTCACATTTCCTTCGATCACAATTCTCCCTTTACTTTGTTTCTGTATCGTCACTGCATCCGGTCCCGTAGTTGACCCAGCTGGAGCGCAAACTAACATTCCCTCTCCTGCGAAATCTGCTGGTAGCCTGAACGGCGAAGAAGAGAGGGCAGATTTGAGAGTTGATAGCTTTAGGTCGCCGATGAAGAGTGTTCCTGGTATGGGGGTGGCGTGGGGAATGGTGGGGGCAAGGAGGGTTGCTTGGATGTTTCGTCCTGTCAAATGCTCCACATTGGGGATTAGGGAGGGGTCTTCGTCGGATGCTGGCTGAGTGTTGGAACGGATGATGCCGGAGGAAGCAAGTTCGACCAGCACTCCTTCCTGCGCTGCCGCCGCCGCAGCCTCTCCACCCTCCTCCCCGCCGGCGGCAGTGGCAGCAGCAATGGCGTTCTCGGTCTCGAGAACTGGCACTCCCGCTTCTGCACCAATCGCACCCTTAACCAATGCCCTAACATGCGCAATTTCAAACTCTTCAAACCGACTCAACTCCAATCCAGCCAGTAACCCCTCCCCTAGTTTAACCGTGTACGAATTGGTCACCTCACCAATCTGAACACTCTCCATCCACCTCGGTACAAATACATCCTTGGTCAGACTTTTAATTGCCGCCAAAACACCCAACATATCCTCTTTTGTACCCTCATCTCCATTCACCATTACCAATCTCCTCGGATGCAACTGCGGGATGAGAGTCTTGAGTGCTCGGCCGTCGTTGAGACCGGCCATTTCGATAAAAGCGATTCTGCACCCGAGTTTCACCTCGATTTGTTCGGTGATGTATTTGGACGGGATAGCAGCAGCGAGCCGGGCTTCTTCTTCCGCAGCTTTTTTCCGTTTCGCTTCGAGGCTGAGAGCGGCGTTTTCGGGCGAAAGTGTATCAGCAGCTGCCGATTCAGCCGCTTCAAGAGCTCGTCGACGAGAAAGCCAACGTGCGACATCGATGACTTCTCCGAACCCGTCCACCATTCGTTTTCGTTCTATGGCGGGGAAGAGTCGGTAACGTACACCCAGGCCGAAGGGTCCTTCTTGGCCTGCTTTGGAACCGAAGAAAGATGTTGCACGTGAGGCGTTGCCTTTGAGATAGATGTCGTAGCTAAGTTGGTTTGTGTCCCCTCCTGCCCCGGATGCACCGTTGGCAACGGTGGTGGTGGGTTCGGCGAAAGCTGCGCCATAGGGTCGTTTGCGCACGAGCGTGCCTGCGCCGGGTTCACCTGCTTCGTTGGCAACATCGTAGATGTTCTCCCCCTCACCTCCTTCGCCATCCGAACCGGAGTCATCGTCGGAAGACTCATCTTCATCAGCTTCCAATCGTCGTCGGGATCGTGCGAGAAGGGCGCGCTGTTGTGTTTGTCGATCACGCTCCGCCTGCTCAGCCTCTAAATGCGCTCTGAGTTCCTCACCTTCTAGCGGGACTCTACTCTTGAGTTCGAACCGAACCCTCGTGTTAGGTGTGACTGCTTCACCAAGCTTCCCCTGTGCCCAAGCAAAACCTTTCCCTTGGTTAGTATTCCAAGCATCCCACAGCTGCCGGCAGAGCGATCCGGGTTCACCGCGCGAGATCAACACTACAACATCGTTCGGATTCTTCGCGAACCTCGCAAGCAACCTCCTACTCGGACCATGCGTCATAGATGGCGGAACAGCAAGCACTACTTTCGCCTGATCTTGCGGTATAGCTTCATCCATAGCTTGCAGCGAAGAGTAAACTTTCACGTACTTGAAATCGAGTGGTGAAGATGCTGCAGCGGATCGATTTCCTCGGTTTGGGGGTTTGGATTTATCTTGGTTGGCTTCGATGGTTTCATTTGCTTTTGTGGCCCATTCGCGAGTCATCCATTCCATGTAAGTTCGGGATCGTTCGATGACTTCTTTCCCCGTTCGGCTGATCAAGCACAGTGGGAATCGTGCGTGTGGGTAGGCATAGGCCCAATGCTGATCTAGCAAAACCATAAGTTCGAGCAACCGTGCTGATGCGTCGATCGGGAATAAAAGCGAGTTGCCAGCTTGGATGGTGGTGTGGACGAGGTCGATGAGTGCTGCATCCCGGTCTTTTCGGCGGGTGTTGGTGACGAGACCGCGTTCAATTTCGGTGATGAGGAGGTCGGGACGGCGAACTGCATCTGATCCAGAGCCGGATCCTGGTGCACCAGGAGCAGCAGCGGAGGAGGAGAGCAGGATTGTCCCATCCAAGTGTCTTTCCCTGTTGTGATTCCAATCGAGCGCTACGACGACGGTACCAGAGGTAGGAGAGCGGATCTTCCAAATAGCACCTCCGAGTGAGTGACCTGCGTTGTAGGCTGTTAACGTCAAACTGGCACATTTACCCTCAAGATGCGTAGGCTGCATGTATCGGACTGTTTTGATCTCCTCGAATGCATCCTCGACTTCGTTTGCGGTGGGTAAGCAGCGGTGTGTGTTGAAAGAAGACGAGCTAGATTCCTTCTCGATATCCACCTCGCTCCTCCACGTTTGGATTGCTTCAAGCACAGTTAGCTTTCCCATGCTCTGGACTGGCATTGTCGCATACACTTGGCACCTCAGTCCCAACTTAGCGTGAGCATAGGCAAAGAGACCCAAATGATCGAGAGAAGAGTGTGAGAGAAGGACGAGATCGATTGTGGGTGCTAGTTGACGCAGCAACGTGTCGAGAGGAGCTGCTTTGAGCTGATCCAGATCGAAAGAAGCTGTTGGGTCAGACGCTTCGCGTTGCTGAGCCATCGAAGAAGACTCTGCCTTGCCATCATGGTTGTCGGATGTTGATGCCGATACTGAGTTGGAAAAGACAAAGTCTTCGGGTGACCCGCAGTCGATGAGAACACGAACATCGTCCATCTGAAGTAAGTAGGCGAGTGCACGGGGATGCTCTTGTTCAGATGCATCGGATTCGTGTTTGGTGCGTACGCTCGTCTCGGAGCCTACCGCAGCATAGGGCACCGAAAGAGGTACGAATGTGATCATCTTCGGCCTTGTGTAGGTCTGTCACACGGTAGATATGTGAGCAAAGATGGTTGAGGTTGATCAAGGGACAGAGCAAGGTGAAGGAGACAGGGTTAGATAGCGTTGCTAGGTGTCTGTCCATTGCAACCTTGGAAATTCGGTTCCGAATTCTGCGAGGAACAGGCTGAGACCCTTTTGCGACACAGCCGCATGTTAGTTGGCAATCGGGCTAACATCCACAAACGCGGCTTTGACAGGCGCGTGGGATGCCCAAGTCACAGTCAACGGCGCTCGGACCCGCATTTTGGAGAGAAACACGATCAAACACACACTTCTTCTCCTTGACCCTTCCCCTTCCCTCCTTCTACCACCTCGCAACCCCACCACAACTCGCTGGACTCAGCATTTCGGCACTCGCAGCTCAGCGCATAGACTCGCAGCCTCATTAGCCCTTCTTCTTCCGAAAGTGCTTGCTGGTGTAGCAATTACAACCTATTAATCGATCGCTGAGCATGTCAACACACTACGTCAGCCAGATTGCACCGAACTACGTTCACTCCAGCATGCAGTCCAACAGTCCAGATGATTCTTTCACTTTTACGGTGGGCAAGCTCGATGCTGGTATGGCGATCTTGATTGGTGAGAAGGCCTCGCTTATCGAGTTCCCTTCTTTGCTGCTTCCGCCGGGCGTCTCTTCCGGTAGCGTCGTCAACATCCGTGTTATGCGCAATGATCAGCAAGAGCGTCGCCAAAAGGCTGACTTCGATCAGTTGCAAGAAGACATCCTTCACACATTCGGCCAACAGTCGCCAAAACCACCTGCGCTGCGTCTACGCAACGTCACTCAAACTTCGGTCACACTCGAATGGGATCGTTTGACCCTCGCTACAGCAACCCTGCTCTCCCTCGACATTTACCGAAACGGGCAGCGTCTAGCTCCCATCCCCAACCCACTCCACAATACATCCACCAAACTATCCGGCCTCGACGTCAACGCAGAATACACCTTTCATCTCGTTATGAAGACCACCGCCGGCACTTTCTCTTCCCCCATTATAAAAACTCGAACCCACACCATCAACGACACTTCCGGTATCAGTGTCTGCTTTGGTCACGTACACGATCCTGAAATGCTCGAAGCTGCCAAAACCGCTCTCTCCAACATGAAAGCGAGATGGAGCGATAGGATTCAGATCGACACAACACATTACATCTGCACGGATCCCAGGAATCCCGGCGATGTCCATGCACAACAGGGATCGCAGGGTAATGGGTATAGTAAGGCGATGCAGTTGAGTATTCCAGCGGTGCTGCCGCATTGGATCTTGGCTTGTCATGATCAGAAGAAGATGGTAGGCATTTCGGCGTTTTACTTGGATCAAGATCCGCCTAATGCTAGTACGATTAGAGGTAGTATTGATAGGGTTTTGGGGAAGATGGGTGGGTCGAATGGTGCGGCGGCGGGGTCAGCGGCGGGGTCAGTGGCAGGAGTTGCGGCAGGAGAAGCAGCGGCAGCGACTACAACGGCTTCGTCAGCAAATATCACTCCTCCGCCACCATTGGAGAAGGATACTCAACCTCCAGCAGTGGCGGTGCCAGCTAGCGAGACAACAGCCGAAGCAGACAAGGAAGCAACTAGCGCCGCTACTGAGCAAGCACAACCTCAGGAGCCTGCACCACAACCTCAATCCGAGGCATCAGGCTCAGCCCTCGGCCTAAACCTACACAATGACGACGAACACGCACCATCATCTGAAGCGCAAACTCAACCGCCACCGCCCATCATCACCACCTCTGCACCATCTGAGGATGGAGATGCCGAACCCGAAGCTCAAACCGTCGCCGCAGCTGAGACCGAGGAGACAGCAGCAGCTCCAGTCCGAGCTCCACCACAGGTTGTGATCATTCCATCTGACTCGCAAGAGGACATTCTTGGAGGAGCTACTGCATCGAAAAGTGCGGATGTAGAGGCAGAGCAGCAGCAACGAGAAGCTCTAGGAGGGGAAGATGATGAGGACGGAGATGGAGAGATGGACGATGTTAGTTTGGGCGGTGGGGTGAATGCTGATGACGATAACTGAATGTGGACAATTTGTTCAAATCGCTGTTTTGCCATCTACAATCTGCACAGACCAGACCGCACAGAGCATATGACTGCACACATGTCCGACACATGATGAGCAGAATAAATTGCAAAGATAAAGTTAGAAGAACAAAGTCCGTACAGACACAAGCTGGTGAGAGAGGGTATTGCTAAACCATGAGCAGGAGGGCCTACACTCACTCCCACAACCCGCCATCGCCCATTGCCCCTGTTTTGACACCACCCTTCTCCCTCTTACCCTTAAACTTGCCACCTTTGGCACCAGACTTGTAATAATCTCTCATCTCCTGCTTCGTATATTGTGCATCAGCCTCTTGTTTCCACTGTTCCATTCTAGCCTCGTGCGTTGTCATTATACCTGCATCTTGCAATCTCTGTGTTCTTGATGGCGTAGCAGTGCCTGATCCAGGCAGTGATTCGGCACGTGCAGCGTCTTTTGCTTCGATTCTCTTTTGCTTGCCGAACTGTGTTTTCCAGTCGGTCTTGCTTTCGCGACGGGTCCATTTGGCTCCTCCGCTACCCCAAGCTGGGATGGAGGGGAGGGCGGAATCGAGAGAGGTGGAGGAAAAGTTGTGTTGGTAGTGACGGTACCAGCAGTAATTGAGGGTTGCCGAGCGACGCCAGCGTCTGCAAACTCCTGAACAGGCAAGAAGGGATTCGACGGGGGGTTGGAGGAAGATGTGCTGTGCGATTTCGCTGGTAAGCGAGCGCAGAGGGTCGGTCTTGCTGCGTTGCGAGGAGGAAGGTTTTTTGCCGCTGCTTGAGGTGGTGCTGCGGAGCTTGCTACTGCTACCACCGCCAGCTGCTGAGGCTTGTCTAGCGGAATTTGATGCGTCGACATCGCTTTCAAAGTCAGTCGTGTCTGTTTCGACCGCGAGACGGGACGATGAATGGGCACGTGTGGGTGAGGCGGGTGGGCTTCGCTCGAGGGGTGTAGCGGAAGCAGTAGCTGGAGTGGATTGCACGTTGACAAGCTCCTCATCCGTGTCGACTTGCTCCCAGTCGTTGAGGCCCTGTTTGGCTTCAGCGCCACTGTCGGTGAAGGCTTCGTTGCTGGACGTGCCTAACGTCGCGTTCGCTAGCCTTGAGCTAAGCACATTCTGTAGTAGGTTCGACATCAATAAAGGTTGCACTTTGGTGCCAGAATGAGTCGCGATCGTCAGGGGGGGGACCTGCTTTTTAAGCGTTGTTAAGAACGGTGTAGCAACTGCGGTAAGAGGTTGTGGAGGTGGTGATGGTGGTTGTTGAAGAAGAGGATGAGGGGGGAGTGATGCCAACATCAAAGCAAGTGTGAGCGTCAAATGACCTGACTCAGCTGTAGGGTCTCGAGTCGAACAGCCTTGGGTTCCGTCGAAGAGCGGAGAAGCGGTCAAAGTGCCACACGGCTCGAGCGCAGTCTCGACCTTGATTTGGTCACAGTCAGACGCCACTACTAAGAAAACGCAGCTCAGCCTCCACATCAACGTCTGTGCGACAACGTCTGTGCGTCAACGTCAGTATGCATAGCCTCGTCAACTCGACTTGACTTTCGACAACACTGTCGCTCGATAACAGCATCCGGTTGCCCGCACGATCACCGACACGATCACACCTCGCTCGAGAACGGTTCAAGATGTAACCGGATGACGTGCCATTGTGACGCGAACAGTCACGCACATGACCCCCGAGAAAACCTAGACTCTGATAGAATCAAAGATCGTGATTAAGATGGCTTTAGTAGAGCTACATAAGCTCAATGGCGACACCTCTTGGCTGATCCGACTTCCAAGAGATCCAACACAAGATGCTAAGGACTCCACGTTCTACAATCTCGTTCTCGACCCATGGCTGCATCCAACACCGCAGGTAGATGGTTCGCCGATCTTCTCCCGCCAAACTCGAATAGAGCCAGCTTCGTCCAAGTCACTGGCTGAGCTTGACCACTGGCTGTCCTCTCAGTCGACAAGAGAGCGCATAGATGCAGTGCTTTTTAGTCATCCCTTCAGCGACCATCTTCATGAGGATTCAATCAGTGATGCCGATTCACTGGGCGTACTTCAACGAGCCACCATATTCACGACCGGAGATTCCCTCTCTGCCTTTCGATCGCTCAAGATTGCAAAGTCGCTCTACAGGTCCAAGATCATCGACATTTCCTCTGCTATGGTAAAGCGGGATGCGGATCAACACAGCTACACGCCGTCAGGGATATCGGTCGAGCATCTGCCAGCAAAAGATTGGGCCATGTCTCCGGCCTGGAGCAAGCTTCATGGTGGGATCCTCATCTCTTGCAGCAACGGCGCGAATACAACGCAAATCCTTTACTCGCCGCATGGCATGACGCCAAAATCGCTTCCAGCTAGCCTCCTGCCGAAGGACGCTGCTGCAGGGAAACAGGAGCAAAAGAGGGTCCTGATACACAGCTTCGACCGCCAGACACTGCCACTCATCGGTACAGTCGCATGCGGCTTCCCTAACATTATAGACTTGATACCCACGTTTAAGCCAGATATTGTGCTGGCTACACACGACGAGCATAAGCAAGGGGAAGGTATTGTTGGACGTTTGCTTTCTCGAGAGGCTTTTGCTCTGCAAGAGGCTAAAAGGCTCGTCGAGGAACGTCATCCTGACTCGGGTGCCGTGCTCAAGCAGTTGCAGCCCGGTGAACACCTCTCCATTTCCTGAGTCATTCTCACGCCTATCACATGCCTATCATTATACTAGACATGTTGCTCTTTAATATACCACATTCTCAGATCAACTCGACCGCGATTCAGCCAAGGGCTGAATGATATAGTAAAGCATTGTTCAAATGACCGGTTACATTGCAATCATCACAGATGTGAAACAGGCTTCTATGCACGACGGAAAGTCCTACCACTTGCAGTCTTCCTTTCCTTCTCCGCAAGTTCAGGCTTGGCACGGTTGAGAACCTTGAGGAACTCTGCGACTCGGTGACGCATACGACTGTGCATATAAGCTTTCGAGCACTTGATGTGGTAGTGCAAGTAGTCGCGGAAGAGTTGAATGCGTGAAATGGTGCCTGCGGATACTTCGGCGCTGGCAAAGTGTCTTGGGAACAACACTGTCGACGTCAACACAATCGAAAGCCAGAAATGAGATGTGTGAGCGACAAGAGGATGAAAGGGGATGATATGGAGTGCAGAGAGGGCTGCTTACCGAAAGTAACGTATCCGACATCATCACCCTTGTTGAGACCCTTGACATTCCTTACTTCGAGTGGAGGTTCTCGATTCGAGTACAACACCTGAGGAGCGTTTTGGATCGATGGTTGACGTCTAGCATCCACGAATTCTTGCAAAAATACCTTACCCAAGACCTTGTCAGTCTCCTCCTTGAACGTGGTCGTGAAGACAACAGTAACTCTGTCGACCGAAGGAATGACGTAGATCGCCTCGTCGTCTCGGTAGTTGATGGGGATGATCTCTCCTGCACCTTGAGCGCTGCCTGTTCCGTTCTGGGCCGCCTCTTCGAGCTGCTTTTGGAGCGCAAATGCACGTTCGAAAGGCGCGGCCATAGCATTACGCTTGAGCAAAGAGACGCTGTTGATGAGAGCATCACGTTCCGGACCGGCAGCAGGGACTTTTGCGTAATCGAATTCCAGAGTGACACTGTATTCTGGCTCGACCGAGTCTCGAATCCATGAACCGTATTCGCGTTTGAGGACATCCAAAGCACCGGCTTGCACAAGTTCGGACCAGCATCGAATGTCCATTGAGAGTGTGATGGGCCCTGCTTTGGACGGTGATTCGAGGTGGTATGCTACTCCGTCAAAGTCTGTGAATGTTTGGTCGACCGAGGATGGCTTCTCAAACTTTTCGCGTAGGACATCGCGGATGATGATGTTTTCTGTACCTAGCATGATCATCTTGGCTGGATCTTTCGGGAGGAAGACTTTGGGAGCGAGTTGTTTGGTGAGTGGGTGTTGGAGTCGATGAATAGCTTCGTCTACTCGATTGGAAGCGTCCGAGACTGGTTGCTGATTCGCGGGGTGGAGGTATTCGAATGAGTGCGTCTGTGCGTTTGGCGGTCAGCGATGAAATAAATGCTGCCGTCGGATCGATGTGAGCAGTGTGTTCGTGACTGTATGAGAATGATAGACGAGCCGAGTCGGGAAGGATGGACGGTTTAGAAGAAGGGTCCGGAGAGGCGATGCGTAGATTGATGCACTGAGCGTATCTGAGAGCGAGTGTGGAGTTGGCGGATGGACACAGCACAGCGCTGACGGCCATGATTGACCGATTTCGATCTCAACTCACACAGCCATTGGTCTGTGCGTCTTCCTCTCTCCAAACCGCAAAATTACATTTCTCGCCCGGGTTAGACGCGACTCTACCTCCACCGCTCAATCAAAGACCATCACCTCTCAACAAGCATGGGCTATAACACAAGACAGCTCATTGGCCATGCACATAGACGCCCCAGGATCGATGTCGAGAGGCTGATCGTAGTAGCATTCTGCAGAAGGAAGCGTTTTCGATTATACCTTGCGATCCCATATGATGCTATGTTACTACTGTGAACGCACTCTTAGAAGATGGTAGACATGCGACTCGTGTGTGTCATTTTGAGAACGATAGGCTCGAGAGTTAGCCTAGGCAGCGTGCTCCTGATGAAACTCTCTGAGACTTGTTCGCAGGTGGGTTTGCGGACGCTAATCAAAGTCGACGTCGTCATCACCTTCGTCCAAGTCCTCGATGTCACCATCCAGATCAACTGCATCCTCCTCTTCCTGAAACGCAGCCTGCCTCTCAGCTTGACTTCGTGCCGCTTCTGCTACTGCCGCTGCTCTATTCGCTTCCGCCTCTGCATCTCTCGCTCTTCTTTCCGCTTCTGCCACCTGTCTCTGTTGAAGTTCCGCTTGCGTGTGCCCAGTGTGACCGCCTATAAACGGTCCAGCGCCACCTTCATTGTCACCCAGCACAGAGCCGCCTTCTTCTGCTACCAGTACAGCCCCTTCTGGGTCTATCGACACTCCAGCATCGACAGCAGACAGTGCCGCTCTCCTCCCGTCATCCTCCTCATTCGAGAGCTCCTCTTCGCGCATCGTCCGCCGCCTGCCGATTTGAACGATGTACCGTTCGCCGAATCGGACCATTTGGTATTTGCCCACTTCGATCGATTCTTCCAAGTCGCTGAGCTGATCAGCGTCGGCTGAACTGCCGATAGGAGGGTAGCCCTTGAGTGCTCGAAGGAGTCGTGCCTGCTCTGCGCTCTTGGTTCGCATGGGAAGGTGGTCGCCTCGTGTGGATTGACGTACAAGCCTACGTTGCACAGCGGCTTGCCGTGCTGGTGCGAGCTGCGCGCTGTGTCCTGTTTGAGTATTTGCAGGGCCATGGTGGGCTGGTTCGGGAGAGGGTGAGCGAGACCATGCTCGTTTAGATGGATGTGATGCGTGGTCCCAGAGCGTACTGATGGGTGGTAGATATGACATGATTGAAGCAAGGGCAGCCCTTGCCTACCGCTATGGTGTTCTTGAGTTCCTCCGCTTCCGAGAAGAGGGCATGGCTTCTTCGGATCGATGCTTCAGACGAAGGAGTCCTAGGAAATGACAATGAAGTTCAGAGAAAGCGAGCCGAAGATCCTGGCTTCTCAATTCAGGGTCCAATACGTGCAACGCGTTGAGAAAGCGCGAAGCCATCCTAACTGCGATCGGGAGGCCGCCTTTGTCAAATCGGTGATCGACCCCAAACCGTCGGCACTTTGCTCCTCTGCACTAGCAAGCATGAACTGAGGAGCTGTTCACTTTGGGGTCGATTCATACAATACCTACATTCTGTTTCCGTGATCAGTTTCTGGCGAGATGGGGAGCTGTCTCCGAATCCCGCCAAGTAACGTTCTTTGAGGGAATGCGTGAGTATCATAATATGAGAACTTCGAAAAGCAGTTCGAAAAAGATGGTCGTGAAATTGCTCATACATTGGACACTGCTTCTGGCACCTTATCAAGCAAAAGTTAATCATACACTGTCAGACGAGGTTGCATGTAGGATTATGCAGACCTGAGGATACGGCCAGATCTCTGGACCTTTCAGTGACACGCCTGCGGTACACGGGAGCGGCGTTTCGGGAGCATGGTGACGCCTGTTTCTCACGCTACCCACACCACTGAGCAGATATTGGCAAAGGTATGTTGCCTTCAGTGTCGTCTGTGAAGGAGTGGGTCCGTTGAAAGCCAAGCACGAGCACGTGATGCGCAATTGAGACCACCACGCCCATCTCACGGTAGTACAGAACGATGGATAGTCAGGGTGGGAGACGAGGCCATGAAGGTGGTTAACGTGTCACGCAAGGTACAAGCGTAGACCAACAGTTTGAGGTTTATCCTGGTGTTGGTCTCGCTTGCAAGCTGGAGAGATGGTCATTGTGATGCGATTCTCTTTTGCGGACGTCAGTCGAGGGTGGCAAAACATGGCCGGTTGCAAAGTTTGAGTGCCAGTCTCCAACTCCGATGGTGATGGAAGAAGGGGCGGGCTGACAGTGCAGTCATTCTAAGCGAGGTAACGGTCAAAGAGGGGTCATGTGCGATCGGCAAAGGAAAGCTCATTCCAGTTAGGCATGTCAAGCGATAAACTGGACGACAGCCTCCATGAAGCCTACCGGATGCTGATAGTGGCGACAAGCTCATCGAGTAATTAGAGTCAGGGGGCAAAAGGGTGGCATACATCGAACTACGCAGGCGAACAAGCAAATCAAAGCTGATATCGAGCATGGCAAGAGAGGCAGACGAAGCAAGGGAGCGACAAGAGCTCGAGTCCAACAATGCCCAAAAAGAGTTGCGTGCTAGAGTTTTTGCTGCGATTGTGGTGTTCTAAGTACAAGTTCGAGTCCGGAGATCTCCAAGTCTTTCGCCACTTGCGCGTGAGCGAGACCATTGCAAAAATTTTCATTGGCCAGAATTCCTACTTTGTTATGTCTCCCTCAACTGCCTCCCTCAGCAGCAAGGCAGGAGACTGCTGAGCCACTGTGACCTGCTGAGGCATTAATCCTAGCCCCCATTGCACATGCTGTAATACATCTTTCCCCACTAGTTTGGTAAAGAGGTCTGCCAAGTTGTCTGTGGTGTTGATATACTTGATCTTGACTTTTCCATCTTGTACATTGTCTCTGATGAAGTGGTACTTGGTGTCAATGTGCTTTAACTTCCAATGTTGCACAGGGTCCTTGCTAACCTGAATGGTACCAGTGTTGTCTGAGAAGATTGTGCAGGTACCAACATCAATTCCAATGGCCTTGAAGAGGTGTTGGAAAAACAGAACCTCCTGTGTGGCTTCTGTCATGGCCACAAATTCTGCTTCCACTGCTGATAAGGCAGTGCACTGCTGTAGTGCTGACTTCCATGCTACCAGATTTCCATGCACGAATACTGCTGAACCGGATGAGCTCTTTGTCAGGGGTCGCGTGCCTGAGACCTGGGTCTGGCTGGTAGTGATTAGTGATCTCGTCGAAACATTCGGCAACTATCGAGTTGTGCGACAGCTATCAAATTGTGCGATGACAGCTCGGTGGTGTAGATATGGGTGTTTGTTCGTTACTGCAGGTCTCGACTAACCGCTGTGGACACTCCGTTCAGAGGTGGCTCGGCATGATCAGTATCAATACAAAGGTGATGGTGAAGGTGGTGGTGGTGGTGATAAAGCTGGTGGCATTGGTGGTAATTCGGTGGTGTCAACACGAGTGTCCAGTGTGCTGACTAATGCTTGAAGTGATCCCCAGACCACAGTGGACTACTGCCTTTGGTTCTATCTATATCCAGACCACTGACCTGCTATGGGCTGCCTTTGGACATCAGGTAGTGGTGATACAACACACACACTACAATGAGAGGCAACCTTGATAGATTGCTGCTATGCTGACTGGAACTAATGTATACTTATGCTGAAGTGATAACTAGTTATAGGGTGAGTAGAGTGGATGAGGATCCACTCAACCTTTGATGATGAGAAAGTATGGTTATATACCTCTTCACAGCATTGCCAGTGATGCTGCCCCTGCTCTCTCTCCAGAGAGTACCTTCTTCATCGAGTACTGTACAGGGGGCCCCTCTAGCACCACTCCTGTCCTCCTTGAGCTATCCTGCTTGCTTGGCACCCCTGTGCCTCTTGAGCTGTTTCAACTCCTTCAACTCCTTCAACACTGCTCCTCCTCCTTGCTATCCTGCTTGCTTGGCACCCCTGTGCCTCCTGAGCTGTGGTGACTCCTTTGACACCGCTCCTCCTCCTCAGGACCTGCTTGCCAGTTTCCTATACACTGCTCCTTCTCCTTTGACTGGTGATGGTTCCTTTGACTCTTGTCTCTCGAGCCCCTGAGTGGTAACCATCTGTATGCTTCCTTGAGCTCGGTCCTCCTTGTGGCAGTGCTTGGACCTCCTTGCATATGGGCCCAGTCCTCCATGTCCATGGTCTCCATGGAGGCTGCACTCCGACCATGCCTACTACTGGTACCAGCTAGGCCTCTGGCATCTGCTTGACCACCCCTAGACCTGCTATGGTCATCTTCTTCTGTGATCTGACCCCTGGTACCTGTGCTCCTTCCATATGAACCAACAGCCTTCATGCTACCTGTGCATTCATGCCCATGACACTCTTATGCTGCGCTGTAGCATCACTTGCCCAGTTTGCATCGCTATGCGCCATCAGGAAATCCTGTTGTTTGTTGCTGCCATATTGCAAGTGGACTTCTTGTGTGTGGTCCAAATATTGAAGTACTTTCTGTGCTGTGTTGTAATGCTCCTTTGATGGTTGTGTCATGTAGCATGTGAGGATGCCAACAGCTTGGCTGATATCTGGGCATGTTCCATTTGAGAGCCACAGAAGTTTGCCAATGATCTGTGGGTACTCCTTCCATTCCACTATGCTTGCTGCTGTTTCTGGGACCAGGATGTCTTGAAGTGGTATGCTGGACTTTCTTCTGTGCTTATCCAAGTGTTCATCCAGTAGTTGCTTGATGTAACTGGTTTGCTTGAGGTCCATGGTCTTTGCTTTTCGATCTCTGGAGATTTTAATCCCAAGGAAATGGGATATGTTGCCACCCTCCTCCATCCTCCATTTGCTACCTATTTCCTCCTTGATATGCTTGACTGTTTCCAGCTTTGGGGCTATGATCAACATGTTGTCAATGTAGATGATCACTATTGCAAAGTTGTCCCTTTTTCCTCTGGTGTAGATGCATGGTTCACAATCAAGCCTGTGGAAATTTGAGCACCTAAGGAACTTATTGAACTCCATGTTCCACTCCTGTCCTGATTGTTTCAGTCCATATAGTCCCTTGATGACTCAGTAAACTTTTCCATTTGGTACCTTTGCACCCTCTGGTGGTTTCATATAAATTACATGTTTGAGTGTCGAGTTGAGGTAGGCCATTGTGATGTCAAGCTGGTGGACTTCCCAATTGCACTCTGTCAGAGGTCGCACACCCAAAACCTGATATCTGTAATAGAACCGCATCTATTACAAATCCTGTCAAGATATGCAACAGCACTTGTGGTATTATGATTCTTGCCAAGATATGTAGTAGTGCCATCTCTATTACTTTTCTCACTTGAAAATGCAGTAATGGTTTTGCTATTGCAGGTTTCAACTAACCACTGTGGACACTCCATCCAGAGGTAGCTCAGCATGATCAATAACTTGAATGTATTGCAAGACACTGAAGGTTTGGTGTGATTGAGATAGTTAATGTTGTCGACACAAGTGTCCAGTGTGTCAACTGAGTGCTTGAGGTGATCCCCAGACTGCAGTGGACAACTGCCTTTGGTTCTATCTTTATCTGGACTGCTGGTTTGCTATGAACTGCCTTCAGATGTCAGTGAGTGGTGATACAACACACATGCTACAATGGGAGCATTCTACTTGATTGTGACTACACTGACTGAAACTAATATATACTTATGCTGAAGTGATAACTAGTTATGTATGGTGTAGAGTGGATGGAGATCCACTTGACCACTTATGACGAGAAGGTATGGTTATATACATCTTTGCAGTGTTGCCTGCGACTCTGCTCCAGCTCTCTCTCTGGAGAGTACCTTCTTTGTCGAGCACTGTGGTAGAGGTCTCTACCAAGGCATCCCCTCCTTGCCAGCCCCTGCTTCTCCTGCTCCTGGACCGAGGAGAGCCATGTCACCTCATCGTTGATAGATGTCACCCCACTTCATACCAATGACAATGCTTGCCCCCTCTCCCATCCACCTCCTGATGTTGGCACCCATCCCATGTGCCAACTTCATCGTCGTGCAGGGTCCCTACCTCATCTGGTGGCGACCTCAAAGGTCTGTGTCACTAGTCCCTACTGGTTCCATCATATGATCACCCTTGCCACTTAATCTCCATGGAATATGCCATATGATCTTGTTTGCTACCAATCCCAGCAGGATTCATGATACCATCTTCTTGTCAGGGGTCTCGCGCCTGAAACCCAGGTTGGTCTGTCGAGA